TGAGTTGGCTGCTGAGACGATAGCATTTATATCAACTTTCCAAATGTATCGTCGAGCTATTGTTTTGGCACTTGATGCTGCCGTGAACTTGAAAGTAACCATAGCGTGATCAATTCTTCCTAAAGAAGGAAGAAGATCCACATCTTCACCATAGGAGAACACTAGGTTTAGAGTTGGAGAGGAGTGCTGTAAGTCATAGTGCAAGGGCTTAATGACTTGTTCGACTGGGGCTAGCGAAATGCTACATTCCAGCAGTTCATGATGACAGGAGTTGTCCGAAGATGGCGTTGTGAGGCTTGTGCAGTCAACTGTTGAGGCGTTGAAGTCGCCGACGACGAGACTCCGACATTTCGATGTCCAGGAGCCTAGCTTCTCTACTAGGAAGTCGTTTGCAATGCAGTCAGGACTGCGGTATGTGGCAATGAGGTCAATATCTTGGCCTATGCATTCAAATCTGCATCGTAGAAGTTCTCACGATTCACTTTTTTGAGCGACTGCTTCGATGCTTCTCACGATTAAGAATTTCTCTAGGTGGATGATTACGCCACCTCCTTTGCGACTTAGTTGGTCCACCCTATGAACTTCGCACTTTGGCAGGTTAACTTCGTTATCAGTGACATCGGATGTGAGCCATGTCTCTGTGATGATAATTACATCCGGATTTCGGAGTCTATCATATTACCCAGTTCAATGAGTTTGTTCTGCAGGCATTTGTGTAGCAAACCGTTAACTCAGTGTGGCAAGTCCGCGGTCTACCCACAGAAGTTTCAGGATTATCAAACCTCGAACTCTGACAACCTGGAAACCCTTAATCTTAAGGTTTTTGGGCCGTTTCGGAGTCGTTCGCTTAATTCTAGAGCCACAGACTGGCTTTTGACGTCCTATTCAAACGGAGAATAACAAGATGGAAGAATGCAAAAAAACAGTCACAATACCATATAAAAATGGTACATCAGAGGCAATTCAAAGAAACCTCAAAAATATCAGCATTCATACAACTTTTAAACCGACAAATCTAATCAAAAATAAAATAAATCAACCGAAAGATCCCATAAAAATGATGGATAAAAACAACTTGATTTACAAAATATCTTGTGCTGACTGTTCGACTAAATACGTGGGGCAAACATCCAGATCACTGAAAATAAGAGTGAATGAACATAAACGCCTAACCGAACGTAAACCAACAGAAACACAAGCCTAAATAATCTTGAAAAAATTCATCGATAGCTGCACATGCATGGGAAAAAAACCACAAAATCGATTGGAACAATGTGTGTATTCTAAAAACTAACATGAACAAATGGAAAGAAAGACTTACTGTCTTACATCTTCAAAGTGGTATGAAATACTCAGACTATTATTCCTGGTACGTCACCTTCAAAGGTAGAAGTATCCAATCCTTTTAAACGCCACAATTATTTTTCTACCCTTTCACCCTGACTCAGTGTACAAGCACGAATTCAGGCCTTGTTCTCCAATATATATATTTAACGCACGGATGAAAAAACTTCGCCACACCATCTGATTCTGGAATATATCTTTGTTTATATCAACTCATATCTATCAACCGATCGACCACACCCTATTACATTTTGTTACAAGCTTCAAGATACACACACGTTTTGGGTTAACCCAGCATCATAGGTCAGAAAGTAGTTCATTTTGCTATTGATCAGTGGCTGTTTTAAATTATTTTGCCTGTGATACATAGTGGCCAATCTTTATCAAATATAATGTGGTAGAATATGAATCATCTAGGGCCTATTGAGCATAGAAAATCTGAAAAAAACGTAGTTTTAACATCATTTAATCGACATTAGTTTTATGTGAAACGTATGGAATAGTTGCGATTGTTCTACTCTAAATGTTTCAACAGGATGCGATAGCATATCGCCAACTTTTGTCTATCGGCTATTTGAGCCAGGATAGTTTTCAAACAATAAACATATATTTAAGATGGTACCACATTTGATCGCAGCTGGCAGAAGGTTCCATCTTATTATCCGTTTCGTGCTAAAGACATTTTAGAGGGAGATATACTGCGACAAAGAACAACACCAAGGTAAGATTCATACCTAGTAAGTACGCTGCAGGATGAGTAAGAGAAGTTAATACTGCTACAGGGGAAGTATCCTATTACTTTAAGAATTCGGTTGATTGATTTGCAGAAGTTCGTAATCATGAAATGTGGACCTATGATTCAGTGACCATTGAATAACGAATTACCAGCACTTGTTTCACGCATCATAGGTTTTCTTGAAGCCATCGTCCTTCGTACGATAAGGGGCAATGGGACCCAGTTGATGATCAGTCGTATTTGGTTTCTACTTTAGTATGGAATTAAAGTCACAGTGTAACAACAGAAGACAAGGGCCAGGCAACAGATCGTTTATTAAGGAAAATCAACACATATTTCTAGATTTTAATGTACATTATTGTAGATTATTGTTAGTAGTAAATACAGTCTTTTGATTGGTTGTTTCTCACAGAAAGTTAACCTTACATCTCTTTGTGGCTGTGTCAGATCATCCATATGCTAACTGCATCCGCCTACGCAAAGTCTGCTGTCCACCTTTGAACTTGTTTTCACATGACTAATATTTGAGACATAAACATTGACGTCAATTACTGTGTACCAACTTTGGCTAGCAACCATCTGTCACCACAACAGCATTACTATCTACTGATGTAACATAGATCTACATTAGTTGCTCTCATAGGAGGAAGTGCAACATTTATTCATGACGAGAGTCAGTTCGAAATAAACAGAACAATCATGATGCATTCGTAAACTCCGTAACGCTCTAAATATTTCACAAGAGAGACGGGCTTACTCTCTGACTGCCAAGTACACAATTATTTTAGTTCCTAGACCATAGGGAAGACGCAAATAATAATGTCTAGCTTAGCTGTCTAGGGGTTGTAAAAATTATGAAGAGGGATTTTCACCTAAGTAAAATATTACGGTCAGTTGCTAACGCTCTCTGACATCTGTTGTTTTACTCAACAATCACATGCGCAGTTGGCAATGAGCGTCGGCTAGAGGCAAGTACACCTTTAAGGTTGAGCGGCTAGACCGATGAGTAGCAGCTACACACACACACACACACACGGTCACATACCTTCATTCTGCCTATATGCAGTCAACGATATTTTACAGTATTGTGAATCTTATTTTCTACCCTTTGCGTAGACTATGAACCATTTTAGGTTGTTAATTTTCAGAACTTATCAGTGAATTGAGAGTATTTGTCAGGGTTATTTAAGACCCATATATGTCTTCAACATTGCTAAGAAAGTGATTTTTTTGTTGTTTGAGGCAGTAAAAGTAACTCTCCTCAGTGATCCAACTTCTACCAGTCACAAAGATGGTTACCAGGAGACAAAATTATATCATTCATTTTATACTAAAACTTGCGCTGAAAATGTTGTCCGGAAGGACGACAGAGGATTTCGCAGCTAAACCAGCCAGCTTAGAGAACACAACCACTTTCAGATCCAACTTCTTTTGTAGACAACGATCAGCATAAATGGGAGGAACCTGAAAAAAACAACCTCTTTTACCTACCTGGGAAGCATCGTTTCAACTGTAACAACAGAAGACAAGGGTCAGGCAACAGATCATTTATTAAGGAAACCAAAGCATATTTATATATTTTCATGTACATTATTATAGTTTAATTAAGCAAACAACACAGTCTTCTGATTGGTTGTTTCTCACGTAAAGTTAATCTTTCATCTATTTGTGACTGTTTCTAGAATTGCAAATCCTCTATATGTTAACTGCATCCGCCTACGCAAAGTCTGCTGTGGTCGGTTTTGAATCAATCTTTGTTCATATTTTCTCACGACAAATCTTGAGAACGTAAACGTTGACGTAAATTACTATCTACCAATTTGGCTAGTAGACAGCTCTCACCACACAACTACAGGTGGAACTGACGAGGATATCAAAGCAAGAATTGGAAAAGCAAGACAAGCTTTCAATACTCTCAAGTCACTGTGGAGGTCAACAACACTCAGCATCAAAAATAAGATCCAGATGTTCAACTCCAATGTGAAGTCAGGGCTACATACCATTGGGATCAGAGACTTGCACTGCGCGTCATAAAGAGCATCTCAAACAAACTACAGACCTTCATTAACAGTTGTCTTCGCTCAATACTCAAGATCACATGGCCAGCCAGAAAAGATCAGCAACAGAGATCTCTGGGAGCGAATCGACTGTGACACAAATAGGAAGGAAGAAATGGAGATGGATTGGACATACTCTGAGGAAACCATCAAGTGACATCACCAGACAAGCCATTGCTCGAGTGGAACCTGAAAGGGAAGCGGCGAGTTGGTCGTCAATGCAAGGGTGACTTGGAGGAGGTCATGTGAAGAGGACATGAAAGCATGTGGGCAGACTTGGAGCCAGGTGAAGACTCTAGCAGAGAACTGAACGCAATGGAGATGCACGGCTGAAGCCATATGTTCCTCTAGGAATTAAAGGAAACAATAGTAATAATTCTTTTGTAATTCTCGCGTGCAGTTGGTATGTATGCGATTGAGATTAACGTTATTTGGAACCCATTTTTTTAAAAACATTGTATTCATTTGGTGTTCCTAGTGAAGCATAACCTCTGAAGGTTCTTCGCTAGTTACGCCTAATCTCCCCCTCTCTAGCGGTTTCATTACCCAATTGATGAGGCTTAGGGAAGTATGTCGACCAGGAATCGAACCCAGGACCACGCGCGTGGTTTACCACTGATGAATACAGTTGCATGCGACTAATTATTCATGTAACAGGATATGAACTAAACAATTACTAAGCGAAGGGTAAACATACAATCCAATTGCTAAAACTAAAATAGGTTGTGCGCGACCGAAAGTCGAGCACTTAATGCTAACTTGAAACCAATATGTCCCCCGGTTCATACAGCCTACAATCTACTAGATCGTATGACCTATCGGCCGTACTATACACGTATACAGAAAAGATCAAAAATATGAAATCCATAATACAGTTTGTGTATTCATAGGTATAGGTAGGTACAAGTTAGACAATTTCACGTAACCAACCACCAATCGTTTTTACATACATCACATACTGCAAAACAAATAATGAGTAGACAGTAACATTTTAAAATATACACAAACAGTCTCTCTCAAAAAAAGAAAAAAACATAACATACGTAAACACTTCTATACACAGAAACAAGAGAGGAAGAAACAACAAACACTCACAGTATAACTATATCATAATAATAATGGATAGAAGAGAAGAACTCCACAGTACAGACAACTCTCAGATGTCAAAATCGCATACACCACATGTACACTCACCAGCACCGAGTTTAGTTGGCATTCACATAATAGATAAGTAGGTAAAATTCTACTTTTTTCTGTTCTCGTAATAGGAAAGTAAACAGGCTGTAGGAATGATCAAAGTTTTAGCCTTCAGGAGTAATAATAATAATAATACTTCTACTAGTACTACTATCAGTAATAATAATAATAATAAAAGCAACAACAAAAAAGAAGAACCAAAGAATGAATCCAGTCGATCGATCAATCAATCAATCAACCAATCAATCAATGAACCGATCAACCTCCGTTGTGATCAAATCAACTCACAATAAACAAAAGAAAGTGCAGTCCAAAACAAACAAACAAAAATATGACTATACGACATGATAATTAATTAATTAATTAATAGTTGGTCGACGATACAATAGTCACGTGATGATGTCAGAAGTGGATGATGGAACTAGGAGATATCTAATGTCTCCTTTAACTCTATCATCAGCTTCCAATCTTCTTTTTTCAAATCGGAACGGAAATATTCTTTCATGACATCAATACTTTCACGACTTATCTATAATAACAAATATATATGGAGAGAAAAAAAATAATAATAAAAACATTCAGTAGGAAGTATGAGCATTTTTTTACATGAAAAAGAATAAACTCTTAAGTGTTTATGAAAAAGTCCTTGGGTTCACACCTTGCGCTGCTCGACGTGATATCATTCCAGCTATCGATCAAACAATTTATGCAGAGTATAGCAGTTCGTTTTACTCTTCCGTATGGCTGTGAAACATACTGTAATGGAAGTGAAAAACATGGTGCATATATTGTCTGTCTGTCTGGATTCAACATAGAAATTGGCACCGAAGTGCAGCACTTCGAGTTGCCACGTCCCAAAGACCACACAAAGGTAGACAAGAAGATGAGAGTGAAGAGAATCAATAGAGTTTTGACAAGTATAAGAGTGAAACACAATGAGTAATGGTAGAAAAGAATATGAAAGATTACAGAGACTGAATACATCTGCGTAAGTCATTGACAACGATTTTGAGCCATGTCACCTATTGTCTCCAACCATTGATTGATTCTTAGAGTCCCGAGGGCGGGCCCCAACCCGGAAGTCTGCATCTCCCTACCTGACTCAGTTTAACTGTCAGGGATTTCATGGATTGATGAGGCCATGTTTTTGTTTGGCCACCACTTACTCTTTTCCAACCCACAACACCTATATCAGCTAGTAATGCCCGTCCGTTGGGGGAGGCGATGGTTAGGCATGCGCAGCACGTGACCTAGCCACCTCAATCTATCATCCATGGAATATTTGATTGTTGAATTTGAGCCACATTTGGAAGTGTAGACTATTTTCGTTGAGGTTGTCGAAACACTAAGAATTAATGACTGCAGCTTGCTAGTAACATGGCTTAAAATCATTCTCAATGGCACAGATGCACTTACTTTTTATACGTTCTGAGATACACTAAAATCTTATTATTCTCCGTGTAATTATTATATCGCTCTTATATTTTCGTTTATTGTAACTCCCTTGCATCTTATTTCCCTAACATGTGTGCACTTTGTGAAATGTGGCGACTTGAACTGTTACAATCTACACTGAAAACTCAGCTCAACATAATGTGTTGACTGATAGTTGATAAACCTTGTTCGTTCATGAATCCCACCGTGAAGTACACATACATTTTGGAGCTAATTACCTATTTCATTGATATGCATAGCGTATACAACTAAGAGATTCGAAGAACTATTATTTCAAAGTACCATTCCATAAGAAATACTGAAAGTCTGAAGAGTCTAAAGCGCATACGAGCTCCCTTCAAACGTCGGCAGTAAACAAAGTAACGAGAAACAGATATAAGCTATAACCTGACCTCATCAACGACACACAAGCTAAATTCTCATGGCAATAAGACCTATACATATCATCTACGGGGTTGGTTGTACTAGTCGTTGTCTGCTGCTCAAAACTAAATACAGCTGTGAATCGGTTCAAATCCGCAATCACATTGTTAAATAAAGGTCAAATAAATTTCTGCAAAATATTTTGATTAGCTTTTGACCTCAAGACAAGTTTAAGCCTATATAACGCTGGACCAGCCGAAACAGAACCACTCCCCTAGATTTTCGATGTCTTTTGGTTGCATGCTGTAGTTTCCACGCAAAGCACTATGACAATACACATACACACACAGACAAAGAATATTTTCATGTCCATAACCTTTTGTTAGGTTAATTGACTTAACCAACCTTCAAAAATCAACTTTAATACGTTGAATGTGTGTTTAGAGAACTATCTCATCACCAGAAGTCCTACCGTTAACTAGAAATGATACTAATTTGAGAGAAATGTACAGGTGGCTGGCTATATTACGACATAATGTTGTAGGATACAAAGAGAAGATTGTACAGTTAAATTATCAGCTGGTTAAAACACATTTTAGAGAACGTAATTTAAACAAAATACGTATTTTTTAGCAATTTCGCACCAGGCTCAGTGAAAATGTTAAACAGCAGATACTGCATACCAATGAAGTTGATAGAAAAAAAGTTCTAGTACAGGAATAAGCGGGCAATAACCGAGGTGAGCATAATAATAATAATCATAGTAAAGGGGGAAATGCATGTTCATGTAATCTAGGTAGTCAATCAACGTAAATGTTTAAGTTAGAATGTGTGTTTGTGACGAGGTAGAGAGAAACCAAGAATCATCTTATAGCGATTACATAATGTATTTTTGCCGAAATGGTTGAAAACAGCTGAATGCAAAGTGCCAAAAACCTAAATAACGAGACATCTTGTGGACTATAGACATGATATTGACGCTGTCAAGTCATTCACTACTGTCAGCAGACAAAGAAACAAGAAGATGCTTGCAATTGCCGAGGAGGCTTGTGCAATTCGAGTTTATAAACCAGGTCTCTGTGTACAAAAGGAGATAGTCGTTACTCTAAATCTACTATGGTAATACGTTTTACTTATTATTCTACCTCTTATTATTACTATTCTTGATTCACTTAAAACTATCTTTTAACAGGAGCATTATCTTAACTCACCTCAACATTATTAGTATTACTGTTATTATTATAATTATTTTAACTATTACTATTGATATTACTCTGTTTTCAATTTTTGTTATATTCTCTAATGACTAATTGTTTATCTAATTGATGTAATTGAAGCGTAATGCATTTTATATTAATTTTGATCTCTCATACTTCCTCTTCCCTTACCTATTTGAAGATGACCTGGAAAACATTGGCACCTGTCTTTCTGCATGACTAATTCAATGTTGTTTATTGGCTTATCAGTCTTATATCTCCCAATGTAATTTCAAAAGTACACATATATCCATGTATGCTCATTTTGCAAAAGTTGTATCGACCCGTGGATTCGTGACTCGCCTACCTGTGCGTCGGTGGCACAGTGGTTAGGACTCTCGCCGACCATGCACATGGTCCGGGGTTCGATCCCCTGCCGGCGCGCACCCGATATCTATGGTCAGCCTGAATTTGGGCTACCGATATCCATGCTGAAAATTCCATACTTGTACTGAAAATACGGTGTGGAATCAAGCTATAAATCAAAAATTAAATTAAAATTAAATTAAAGTATTCACCTAAACGCGTTCTACCGAAATTTGATGAATTCATTAAATCCCGATTTATTAACCTTTGAAGTGTTGGTTTGTAAGGATTTGATTGGCTACAGGATTTTATCATGAGCTGACATCAGTTAGAGAACCACTGGAAAACCTGGGAGTACTGGACAGCTGTTTCGTCCTAGTTGGGACTCTTCATCAGTACGCATCCACCGGGATTCGAACCCAGGACCTTCTAGTTACAAGGCGAGCTCGTATACCATCAAGCCACTGGGACCCGATCCACTGACCCATAAATTCTAACTTCTACCAATTCATGACATAGCGCGACCCCTAGCCACTTATTAACCTTTGTTGTTTGTTTTAAATTCGTATCGGGAAATAAATGTTTTCGATTACATAATATAGTGTTTGGTTTCATACTAAACTGTGAAACTAAGCGTATAAATATACACAGTTATAACTCAATCTGACATTGACTACCCAGATAATAAACATAGTTATCCAGCGTTATCCAGAAAGAGAACTATACTAACTTAAAGGTGAAGGCCATAGAAGGAAGAGTGACTGAATAAACTTTTGCTAAATACTCAAATTATGCTGAAAATGTTTTTATGCTAAAAGTGTCTCAGCTATGCTTAACAATCGAAGGTGCAGTAAGCTTGAAAATTCAGTTGGTGAAAGCAGTATTTTTGTCAATCTTATGCTCTAAGTATATATTCACACTAGATGTATCGATATAGAGCTGATGAAAGACCTTCAGATTCCTTTACCTAACCACATTGGACAATGCTAATGAAAGCGAGGTTCGACTAGCTGAATCTTTCTGCCTATATAAGCGCTCCCACTGGAGTTATCATATTTTATTAACCCATGAACACAAGGTTTTAGTGATATGGCAATTTCCAAAGTTAGTCTTTGCAGGTTTTAGGAAGAGAAAGTCAGTGACAATTCAGTGTGTCTTAGCTTTGTGAAACTTCTACTTTTTCATTTATATTGTATAAACAAGGGGAATAAACGTTTATGGGATATATACTTCTTTATTTACAGTTTATCATATCCTAATTTCAACCATGCACATGGTCCGGGGTTCGATTCCCGGCCGACGCACTCCTTTACCTCGCTAAGCCAAAAATAATGCTGGTAAAGAGGAAAGGTTGGGCATGAGGCTAGCAACCCCATCCTGTAAAATAAACACTGCTTCAGAAACTTGAAGCCACAAGCTTGAAGCCCTATGTTCCACTAGGGAACGTGAAGGAAAAAAAATATCCCAATTTATTCTACTGCAATACTGGAAACAGCCGTAATTAAATTAGCTAGTGTTAGGTAGATGAAGTTAGTCACGAATGGGAGAATTTCCACCAGCCCCACAAGTTGTCCGGGTTAGAAATCACAGCTGACGCACCTTTAAACCATGCCTAAGCAGTGGCAAGCATGGAAGAGAGTGTAGGCGGGGCTTGACACCAGCAACATTTGCTACTGTCGCTTCAAAACTGGAAGCCTTATGTTCCAGTCATAATGTAAAGAGGTAATGAAAACAAAGGTAGGATTGATAAGACAATTATAATACGATTGTGGAACTTTATCGATTGTGGATGTGTTTGGACATCTTACGTAGTCCTTAGCACTACTGCCTACCTCGAAAAGCAAAGTTGGCTAAGATTTGCTTAAGCTAGAGGAATGTGAATGAGTATCATATGGATAATGACAACAATTCACGCAGTCTGTAACTGTCAGTTAGTAAGTCTGAGGTTCACGAGAGGCTAAGAATCAATGGTTGATGGGAAAGTGTGAACATTGTTTACAATAACTCCGATGTATTTACATCTGATCGTCTTATTTACCGCCCATGCTTATCTAATAAGTAGAATCACTACGTCTTTACTCGTCTTTTATGTTTGCTTTTAGGAAGTAGAACACCCCTAACAAGTGCTGGCTGGCTGGCTGGATTCAACATAGAACTTGGCACCAAAGTGCAGCACTTCGAGTTGCCACGTTCCAAATAGCACACAAAGGTAGACAAGAAGATGAGTGCAGAGAATCAATAGAGTTTTGACAAGTTCAAGGGTGAAACAGAATGAGTAATGGTAGAAAGGAATATGAAAGATTACACAGACTGAATACATCTGCGCTAGCCATTGACAACGATTTTCACCCATGTCACCTATTGTCTCCAGCCTTCATTGATTCTTAGAGTCCCAAGGGCCCCAACCCGGAAGTCTGCATCTCCCTCCCTACCTGACTCAGTTTAACTGTCAGGGATTTCGTGGATTGATGAGGCCATGTTTTTGTTTGGCCACCACTTACTCTTTTCCAACCTGCACCTATATCTATCAGCTAGTAATGCCCGTCCGTTGGGGGAGGCGATGGTTAGGCATGCGCAGCACGTCACCTAGCCATCTCAATCTATGTAACTTTATAGCCTCTTCGATTGATTTTCCCTCTTCGCACAACCAACACTATACGCCTAACGTCAATATTACTTACCTTATTATGCCACCTAACGCGAGAAAGAGATCGTAAACATCTGTGGTCAAAACCAGACAATCTCTTCATGTCTTCCGCTCTCAATGGCCACGTCTCACCGCCATAGAGAAGGACGGAGCGAACTTCTGAGCAGTACACACGTCCCTTGTTTGATAGCCAGTGCACTTCCGAGTAGTTTTTATCCATTCGTGAAAGAACACAGGACTTCCGGCGTGAGCTCGAAGTTTTAGTAGCTGTGGTGCTGTAGGCTTTACAGGACGGGATTGCTAGTCTTACAACCAGACTTACTACCAAATAGACAAGATTTGTGAGTGCATCGATTGACAACTGAACTGCGGGTCACATGCGTGCGTGCATGCGTGGTTAGACGCAAACAAAAGCCAACTCATCCAGGAAATAAATCTAGGCTTTTTCATGTAACAGGCGAAGATACTCATCAGATTACTGTACAGATTCACCAATGAGTCAATCAATCATATACTGTATACGAAGAAGTCAGCAATGAAATGCACGGTTAAAAAAAAGAGAATAGAACTCACCTTTGAAACTAATAAATCGTTCAAATCAAAATGTCGACCGTATAATTTCGGTGTTTCACCATCCACCGGGTCAATACGTACACAGACTTCCATACCAGTACGTGCCTCCTCTACTGGTTTATGATTTGATTCAATTGAAAATACTCGACCCAGGGTGATACATTCACGACTAGGCACACATATCGGTGTACCGACACGTACAACACCAGCTTCAACGTGAACACCTACAACAATAGGTGCACGTTTATTGAATATCATTTCAGGCAGTATACGCATTTTACACGGGAATACAGCTAAATCACGATGTTTACGTTGATTTCCAGTTTTAAGATCTTCCCTGATAATAATAATATGATTAAATAAAGGACAAGATACTTTAGGGAAATGACAAAATAGGTTTACTGTGCAAAAAAATATATATATTGAATTAACACATTAAAAAGTAAAAACTATGACTCTAAGTCCCTGAGTGGAACTCGAAAGAGAAATGATGAGTTCGGCGTCTGTTTGAAGGTGAAATGGAGGAGATTATGTGAAGAGGATATAAAATCTTATAGGCTATCGTGGAGCGAGCTAAAGAACATCGCAAAGAACGAGATAAAATGAAGACATGCTCCTGAAGCTCTATGGCCCATTCGGAATCCGAGGAAATAATAATAGGCATTCTAATACACAGTGAAGTCTGTCCTTATATATATTTCGCCTACAAATCCATTAATCTGTACATTACAGGCTAGTAATATTGCAGAAGTGAAGATATGAAGATATGAAGAATTCTAAAAGCTCACTTCACATCGAAGTATGCGCTGAAGATGTTGCTCAGTAGAGCAATGAAAGCTTCGCAACCAAACCATCCAGCTCAGAGAACACAACCACAACAAAATCATCCACCTGAGCTACAAATCTTCTCTATTATACATACGATTAAAAAATTCAGTTGAGCTGATTCGCATCTGTAAAACATAAGGGTTTCCTAATGTAGGTGTTCGAAAATACATATGGTTGCTAAGCAACCCTATTCACTGTTACTGAAGCATTCAAAAATACGTACTGTCGAACATATTCATTTTTTAATCTATGTGTTGCAAATAAAATTATTGGTAATAGATGGTTGGAGGCAATCGGCAGGAAGCCCTGGACCTAGGTTTCATGCTAGTTGGCACTCATCAGTAAGGCGTATCTGCAACCTTGAAGGAACACATGTCCCTTCTGAGATTCGAACCCACGTCACCCAGTGCTGCAGTCAGAGACGTTATCACTGAGCTATTCAGGCTCGCGATTGACCTTCTGAAGGACTGTATTGGATATTTTTGATTGCATACTAGTCAGTAACTAGTGTAATGCGTCTAGTCCTATCTTCGCTGCAGACTGAATCCTATCAGTCAGGTTTGCAATGTGGCCACCATGCCACTAGGTGGCTCGCCATTACGGTGCACTGTGAATTGTTGGTAATACATAGTTGGAGGCAATCGGCAGGAAGCAAATAAAATTAAGTAATCATGGACGTTACGTTATGCTGCTCAAAAGACATTTGCATTTCTAAATGAGCTTGGGCAATAATCTGTACTTATTGTTTATCTGATTGCTCATATCTCATGTGTTTGATTTGCAAAGATTTGATCGGTTCCAAGTTTAAGACCACGAACTGGCACCCAGTTAAGTGGATAGGGATTTAATTTGAAGTCAAGCAAATAAATCAATGAGGCATAGCTTCGAAAACAGCAATAATGTTCCATAAACTCCCCCGTTATTATCACTACGGCAACTTCAGTTACAAATTGTCTTGACCAACGTAATGAAACAAATGACTGTCGTTAACGCTGGTAATCTATTGGCGAAAGGAGTTGAAGAGACGAAAAGACTAGCTGTCATCAACTACAGGTATGTGCCTTCTATCTCCCGTATTACGTGTCATAATATGGTGAATAATATTGAGGTTGGGTGTAGTGTTTGGTAGGAAGGGTAATTAGATCGATGAGGTTGTGAAGTGACATCGATTGAGACGACTGAGACACATATTGTGCATCTTGAGGCATCGCCTCCCTCGTTGAGCAATGCTGGCTTACATAAGATCAAGACTTATGATTTCCAATAAAACCGTTTTGTTCTTCGTTATTACTATTCCTTTGTCTCACACCTCTGTTTACTGTCTCTAATATGCATTTCTCTTACTTTCTTCTCTTGCTTTGTGTGCTACATGGAGTGTGGAGACTTGAACTGCCACACATATGTGCAAAGTTCTATGTCGAAAACAGATAGACAAGTTGGAAAAGACTTGGGCTTAGTCATCAAATCAAAACACGGGATCAATTCATGTGGTAATTGAGAATTGGTTTAAGTCACGTAGAGGTTGGAGTCCTAGAAACAATAAAAAACAATAGCGCTGAAACTGTTGGTGGTATGCCTCAAACTGCTCTTAGTAGCCCAGATCTGTCCATTACTGTTTATATTTTTGAAGACCCAATAAATTCTTATGTTCCTCTTTTGATGTTTCTTTTGGTGTTAAATAGTATAGTAACTTGAAACGCTGCACTTTTGTGCAAAATTCTATGTTTAAACTCGGTCAGTCAATGCCTGAAAATGCTCGTAAGATAATAAAACAAAAGAGCTACCAACTAGTTCATTTCTACACTGAGCTCTCTCTACACAGATGAGAGTAAACAGTGTCACGGATCTAGTCATTAGTGTTATGGCCAACTGAAGCCTATCAATCAGTTTTGCAAGGTGACCACCCACCATCGGAGCGCGCTTTGAACTGACTGACTGACCGACTGGTTTCAACATAGAACTATGAAGTTGAGGTAGAGATTTGATTGCCATTCCATACTTTGCGGATGATTTATGTTTGATGTCACACAAAATCGAAGACTTACAAGCAAAAACCGACAAACTGGTCGAAGAAGCAGGCAGTGAAGACAGGACTCCAGGTGAACATAGACAAGACGGAGGTTATGAAAATAACCAACCAACCAACAACAACAACAGCAACATCCAGTGCCAATCACCATCAACGGGAGGGATTTGAAAGAGGTTACTTCTTTCACTTATCTAGGGAGCATTGTCTTAACCACAGGAGGAACGGACGAGGATGTCAAATCGAGAATCGGAAAGGCGAGAAACACATTCATCAACCTGAAACCAATCTGGAAATCTTCGTCACTCAACTCAGCATCAACAACAAAATTCGGATTTTCAATACAAACGTCAAGTCCGTTCTCCTTCTATACGGATCAGAAACTTGACGGGTCACAAAGAATATTTCTAACAGCCTGTTGCAGTCCTTTATCAACAACTAAATTCGCTATATACTGAAGATGAGATGGTGGAAAGAATCACCAACAAGAAACCATGGGAACAAACAAAACAAGAACCAATCGCTCAACAAATATGCAGGAGAAAGTGGAGATGGATTGGACACTCGCTGAGGAGGCCGCTGGGTGACATCGCGCGTCAGGCCATTGCTCGAGTGGAACCCGAAAGGGAAGCGGCGAGTGGGACGTCCAAGGGTGACATGGAGGAGATCGTGTGAGGAGGAGATGAAACAGTATGGAGTATTATGGATGCAAGTGAAAAGTACATCAGAAGACAGAAGCAAGTGGAGGCGTGCAGTTGAAGCCCTATGTTCCACTAGGAACCCAAGGGAACAATAATAATAATAATACAGCAGTTCGAGTCGCCACACTTCACTCAGCACATAAAGCCAGATAAGAGAGTGAAGAGAGATTCGAAAGAGAAATAATAAACAGAAATAAGGAGTGGAGGCATCTGCTCCAGCCATTCGGTGTTCATCATCCCGAGGACCCCAACCACACAGTCTACACCTTCCTATTTGACTTGAACTTACTGCTGTGGATTTCATTGACTGATGAAGCCATGTATTAGTTTGACCACCACTGGCTCTTTTCCAACCTGAGCCTATGTCAGCACTTTGAATTAACCAACGCTGAGGTGTTAGACACAAGGCAATGGGTTACACCATAGTGACTAACCAATACATTCACACATAAAGTCGATTCTCCAGTCAGAATAGGTCAGTGGTACCAAATCTCATCGCAACACACTGAGTGACGGAAGTTCAAATTTCTCAGATGACGTCCATCCCTTTCAAAATTGAAGATAAAACTTGTTGACAGACAGCCAATACGCCCGAAATCTAGGCGGCCAATGCTTCCCTCCTAACAATCGCTTGCAACTAGCCAGCTAACATCAAGCTCATTTATTTTACAGTGTAGTAGTAAACATTTTTCAAATTAAAAAAATGTACCAATTTAACTGCTCCTGTGGAGCCAGTTAGTTGCATAGACCGTATAATTAGGCATGTTTCTCGTCGAATTTCCAAACGTCACCCTGTGTGGTTAAGTAAAGGACAAACAAAATCTATTCGTAGCGCTATTCTATCTCATCTTGTGGTTACTGAACACAAGATTGATGTCAACCAGGCTTTCAGTGTCATTACCGCATACCAACAAATCTCAATTTCGCCTTAAGAGTTAGATTACTAAATATTGCTGAGGCTGTTGGGATCCACATTAAAAAGCCTAATTTGTGCGTCCAAAAGAAGTTAGTTCAGACATTATTCTTACCTTGGCCGTCTAGGTTTGAATGGTCCTGAATTTTTGTGGATTTTTCTTAATTTTAGTTGATATTCTATTTGCTACTACATTATTATTATTATTATTATTATTATCTAAGCACTTTCAATGAACTATAATTCCATTGATCTTACTTTACAAATCGATATTATTTAAAAAACACTAATATTGTTATTGACTACTATTCTAGAATATTCTGTATAAACATATATATATAACTGTAGAGCCAGAAGAGAAAATTATCGAAAAGGATATTCTTTGCTCAATTATTTTGTGTTTTATAAATTGAACTTGCTTACATATACTTCTCCATTTGTGTTTGAAGACGATAGATAATTTCTGAGGTGAAAATTTTCACATTCAACTGAGTAGCCAGTTTTTGAGCATCTTTATGAACACGTACATCAAACGCCAATATAACCGCCCATTTTGGTTCACGTTCACACATTACCGATGCTTTCATAACATCTTTTTTATGCACTGTACCAATATTAATGCCTGAATACTGAATATGGAAAATAAAGGCAAAACAAAACAAAAAAATTTGAATAAAAAATGTGAGGAAAATAAAAAGTGGAAGTGTCCATTTTAAGAAATTCAAAATCAACAAAACTTCAGCTCAGTGATTCCATATTAGTTTGTTTATTAGATGTATCACACAGTGAAACAGTATTATTATTTACTGGATGACAGAGTTTCGAACAAAATTTATTGCTGTTCATAATCATTTCATCAATTATGAACACACGACTTCGATACTTGAGTTTTATAGTTTTCTTTGTTCTCTCCTATTTGTCGTCGAATTTTCCAGATATCTGGGACAGGTGCTGAATCATTCTTATTACACATATTTGCAGTTGATACGATAAACAGAGTTTCTGTTATCAATCTCTCCTTCCACCCTGTTACACTAGATTTTAGAACTGTCATCTTATCCCATCCAGGCTATTGTATGGTTGTGTGTAACTGCAAGTAGTGCTATAGCTGAACCACACAGTAGGATGGGATAAGATAACGCTTTACAAATCTACTGTCACAGGGTGAAGAGGGACATTGATATCAGAAGCTCTGTTTATCGAATCAACTGCAAATACATGTAATAGGAATGATTCAACACCTCTCCCAGATATCTGGAAAATTCTACTACCCCAACGACCAGGGATTGACTTGCTACCAGGGAATAATCTCAGCGACTTAGAATATGCGGACGATATAGTCCTTCTAGGCGAGGACGCTGACAAAATGCAGACTCTTCTGAACACCTTGAGCAACAATCTTCGTATGTTTGGCATGCGATTCGCCCCTGTAAAATGTAAGATGGTGCTGCAGGATTGGACTTCACCGACCCCTAGATTAGAAATAGGAAGTGAAGGGGTAGAGCACGTTGACCGCTTCACTTACTTGGGAAGTACCTTGGTGACATGGCTCAAAATCGTTCTCAGTGGTGCAGATGCATCCACTACTTGTGACTCATGATTACCAATTAAACTGTTTTGTTCTTCGTTATTACTACACCTTTGTCTCACACCTCTGTTTACTGTCTATATTATTATGCATTTCTCCTTCATTCTTCTCTTCCTTTGTGTGCTACATGGAGTGTGGCGACTTGAACTGCCGCATATAGGTGTAAAGTTCTACGTCGAAAACCGACCGACCGACCGACCCCAACGACGACAAATAGGAGAGAACAAAGAAAACTATAAAACTCAAGTATCGAAGTCGTGTGTTTATAATTGATGAAATGATTATGAACAGCAATAAATTTTGTTCGAAACTTTATCATGCAGTATATATTACTGTGTCTTCAATGTGTGATACATCTAATAAACAAACTAATATGGAATTGCTTACTACCACAGTGCCCAAGATTTACACATATATTATCTTCAGCTCAGTGATCTTTTGAATTCAGAACAATGGGTGTTGGGGTTTAAGTTGCATCTGGAAAATCGTTACTAATTTTTAAGACACACACACAATTAACTGTATAAGCCTCAAATAGGAGCAAAATACGTACAGATAAACAATATCAACTAAATAAAACCACAGTCTGTTTACACCATACCATTAGAAACGTTTATTCCTTTAGTAGTAAGTTAAAATAAAGTGAAACACAGTTGGTGGGCGTATTTACTGACAACTGCAGAAAAGAACAACCTAATAATATATAGCTTAACTATTATATAACTTATTGGCAGCCTTAGCCAACAGGTATACAAGTCCTGCTTCTACTAGATTAAATGCCCATAATTATTTAGTATCTCAGTGTACCCTAAACATTATTGAGATTGAAGTTATCGGCCAAGTTAAACTTTAAGCAGCACTGACAATCCGTAGAGTGCGACCGCACCAATGACCTTGAAACGCTCACTGAGCAAGTCCGTGAAACCTGGCAAGTGATGTTGTCATCATCAATAAAATATGCTCATCGAAGTGTTATGCTATGAAATGGGATATCTGGCAAGTTTCAGCTCAGGTTTGAATAAGTTACGCTTTAAGCCAAGGACAAGTTAGGGTTAGGTTAACCCATATTGGTTCGAGTTAAGCTACAGTTAGTTTAGGGATATTTTCATGTTAAGTTCAGGAAAGATTAGGGTTATTGTTAGGGTTAGAAGACCTAAATAATTAAATGCATAGAATATGGTTAAATTACTCTGTTGCTATAAGAATAGAACTTCTGCACTGTGGTAGAGTATAATTCCATTGTGGGTAAAATCTATTTTGATAAATTCTCACAGTACAGTAGTAATATTTAGTGATGACGTTTCGAGCACAATTTATTGCTCAGGAAATATTACTGTATAACACTATGAAACTTTAGCAAAATAAATTTTACCTACAATGGAATTACACTCTGTTGATACACCAACCTAAAACTGAGAGCTACTTTTATCAAATGTGAGGTAAAGGTATCCTCTGTAACACTTTTATACAGTTTTTATACATACACAAAAATGCCTCCTTCACGTGATTGGTGCGTTCGAGGTCATTCGTTGATTGGTGGTAGTTAGTGGTGTTTAAATTTTAACTTGGCCTAGATCACTTATGCTACCGTTAAATTAACAAGGAATACGAGGTATTTGGCAAAGATTGATCAATTTTTCAACAACTGATAAGTTCGCCGAACCAGTGTTTTCTTCCTCTTCTTCGCCTTGTATACAGAAGACACTAACCACAAAATTTAGTTGAAACAGCAGCTTAATTGGTGAATGGTGACTAGAAGTGGAAACCAGGACAACGCGCATTTCGTCCTATTTGGGACTGGTCGGCTCGATGTACCTGCATTCCGCAGTGAGTGATGATGTTCCCACCGAGGCTCGAATCCAGTGCCCATAGTTTCAAACGCCAAAGGGTTATCCACTAGACCACTTGGGCACTGGGTTCGAGCCTCAGTAGGAATATCATCACTCACTGCGGAGTGCAGGCGCATCCAACTGATGAGTCCCAAATAGGACAAAATGCGCATCCTGGATTCCAATGCTAGTCACCATCCACCAATTAACTTCTGTTACATGCCCAGACATCGTCGACGCATCTGCACAAGAAGCCGACATGTCAACCTGAGACCGAGCACTTCGGTCTAATCAATCGACGGGAAAATCTAAAATTCAATTCAATAATGAAATAGGAGTTGTTGCAATATTTAATTTTCAAAACCTTTTAAAATTGAAGATAACTTCAGAAAAAAATATTACATTTTGAATTCTTTATTTTCACAGAAGAGATAAGGAAAATAGGACTTAAAGTGAACATCAAGAAGACAGAAGCGTTGAAGATATCTAACAAACACCGACAACAACAAACACCAATCAGCATCACCGAGAGGAATGAAGACTTTCAGCACCAGTCAATGAAATCTACAACAGTTGGACTAAGCCACGTAGGAAGGTGTAGACTTCCTGGTTGAGGTCCTCGGGACGGTAGAAACCAATGGTTGAAAACAATTGGTGACATGGCTCAAAATCGTTCTCAATGGCTAGGGCAGATGCATCCACTCCTTGTGACCTATGATTTCCAATTAAACTGTTTTGTTCTTCTTTATTACTATTCCTTTGTCTCACACCTCTGTTTACTGTCTATATTATGCATTTCTTCTACTTTCTTCTCTTGCTTTGTGTGTTACATGGAGTGTGGCGACTTGAACTGCCGCGCATATGTGCAAAGTTCTATGTCGAAAACAGACAGAGAAGAATTTCAACAGCACTTATCCCCTTCGTTAGATATTTAAGATCAGATGGCTGGGAAAAGGATGAGCAATAAGGAGTGATAGCAATGAAACCAGAGGACGAAGATGTATCATGGAAAATATTGTGAAGGGGAAATGTAAACTTGTCGACAGTTGTGGAGCCAGTTAAAACTGACAACAACAAAAAATGTAGATGTGATATTGAAACCCTATGCTCCACTTGAAACCGAAAAAAAGAACAACAAACAATAATAATTTTATACTACACACTGATAATTTCCTTGCATGAATCATCGTCTTACATGAAATGCTACTTTTGAAATTTGAAAAAATTTTGAGTACACTATTCATTCAAAATTATTGCATTTTTCAAACCATCTCCAAATATCCTCTCTAAATGAATTCGAAAGACGGTGTTTCCTTAAGCATACCATTGATTACAAATATGAATAATTCAGAAGAATAAAAAAAGTTAAGATTCCTAAAATCAAGATGTTGTGTGCATCAACTCATAAAATCACCAAATATGAGTCTGATCTATTCAGAATCGAAATAGACGATATGTAGTTGAAGGTAGAAGATTTCAAAGCTGAAAGTAGGGGAACATGTAGATTTAATTGGTGGATGGTGAATAGCAGTGGAATCCGTGATAACGCGCATTTCGTCCTATTTGGGACTCGTCATCTGGATTTGCCTGCATTCCTCAGTGAGTGATGATGTTCCCACCGAGGCTCGAACCCAGTTCCCATGTAGATTATTCATATTAAATCTTTAGTTATAAAAAGCATCTCAACAAACTACAGACCTTCACTAACAGTTGTCTTCGCTCAATACTCAAGATCAGATGGCTGGCCAAAAAAGATCAGCAACAGGGATGTCTGGAAGCGAACCAAACAGGAACCAATTGTGAAACAAATAGGCAGGAAGAAATGGAGATGGATTGGCTGGCCATACTCTGAGGAAACCATCAAGTGACATCACTAGACAAGCCATAGCTCGAGTGGAACCCAAAAGGGAAGCGGCGAGTTGGTCGTCAGTGCAAGAGTGGGTGACTTGGAGGAGGTCATGTGAAGAGGAGATGAAAACGTGTGGGCAGACATGGAGCCAGGTGAAGACTCTAGCAGAGAACCGAACTCAATGGAGACGCACGGCTGAAGCCCTATGTTCCTCTAGGAATTAAAGGATACAATAATAATAAACCCCAGTACTTTCACTGCCTTTCTATCTCAGAAAATCATCAGACACAATCTGAATAACCCACATTGAATTCAATCAAATGCATTTCCCGGTCACTGAAATGCAAAGCTGTTAGACACTGGATTAGGCAGATATCCGATCATCAGCTATTAGATTACGGGATTCGAGCTTAGCACCACTTATCAAAGTTTAAACAGATAAGTTTCGATGTCAAACTTCTTGAAGACAAATTACCCTTCAAATATTATGAAATATATACATATGTAAGGGATAAGATTATCATTAAATATTAGATAAGCAGCAGTTGAACACTTACCGGTATATCAACAGATTTTAGATAGACTAAGAGGGATTCCAATGATCCTAATGTACTGGCCACAACATATACACCCAATGGACTGACAGATATAGCTTTTAAAGCACTCTTTAAACCACGACATACTTCTTCCTAAAATTGAAAAAATAATAAATAAATACAGGTCATCAGTTCATGAAACAAAGAATAGCGCATATCTATCTCACATGACATTTTATTCCCCATTAATGAATTTAAACAAAAAGCAAAAACAAATGTTTGCGCAGAATAATATGATTTATAAAGATTAGATTTGTTTAACGTGTTTGACCATGGATTGATATCAGTTAGAGAATCATTGAAAACCGCGGAGTACTGGACAGCTGTTTGTTCTGTCCTAGTTTGGGACCCATCGGCAGTACGCACCCACCACCAGAGTTCGAACCCAGGACCTTCCGGTTACAAGGCAGGCTCATATACCTGGAGTTTTAGTGAGAAGTCGTGACTACTGCTGAGGTCCATCCAGTCGGGAGTGAGGATGGATATCCTGCCGATGACATTAGTTGGTAGTCGAGCTGAAAATCATGAGTCGGTAGAAGTTAGAATTCATCGGCCATTGAATTGGGTCCCAGTGACTGAATGGTATACGAACTTGCCTTGCAACCGGAAGGTCCTGGGTTCAAAACTCAGAGGGTGCGTACTGCTGATGAGTCCCAAACTAGGACGGAAGAAACAGTTGTCTAGTACTCCCTGATTTTTAATAGTTCTCTAAATGATATCAATCCATGGTCAAACTCGAAGAATAATATGATGCTATCATTTATTTCCTTGGATTCTCTTCAGCTGCTTACACATTAAAAAGTTGATTATATAAATGTACATAGAATTTTGTCATACTTGCAAGGGTCAACATGATTTTGGTTAACAGAGACACATGTTAATAAAAAATGTTCAGAAGTTTCACCTATATAACTTATAAAAAATGTTAAGTTTTAAACAAAATACAAACATGCAAAATTAATCGTCAGTTACATTGAAAATTGAGTCGCACAATCAAGACAACGAGAGTAGAGAAGTTGATGATTAGTAATAGTATGGTGAGTTTAACTCAGGTCATAGAAACAATGGGGTGTTGGTGAAAGCAAAAGATTATGCAATCAACTGTGATGAAAAAATCAGACGTTGGGGTACCAAGGCAAGGAAAGACTCATAAGTGAATCTTTCTGAACATATATGTCAGGTTCTAAATGTTTGGTAGCGATTGCTTCCGCAAATTTGAGGACAGTTCAGTTGTATTGCCTATTAATAATAATCTTGAATAATTTTACGGTGTCCATTTCATGACCTGTATCAACAAGATGTCTAGAAATAGCACTGTCCAAAGTATTTGTTCCTTTGAGACGTAAACTTTAAGTTAGTTAAAATAAATTATGAGAGGCTGGTATACTAAACAATAAACTTCCTATTCACATCACCAATTGAAATCAGTTGAAAAATCACTGAAAACCAGGGTGGGGGTGGCTTACTGAACAGCTGATTCGTCCTAGTTTAAGAATCTTCAGCAGTACAAACTCATCATCCCGCCACAGATCAAACCTAGAAACTTGAGATTACAAGGCAAGCCTATTGATCATTCAGTCACTAGCAAGGAATCCAATGGCGTATGACTTCTAACTTCTGCCAATTACCAATATATACAGTGTCACTACCAACCCAAGTTAATCGGTGTGTATTTATCCCTACATGCGTTCTCATAGACTCCCCTGGTCACAGTTTCGCATCAAAACTCTAGGAACTTCATTCTACAGTCAGCCTATTCAATACCCTCATATTTAGGAAATCAAACATGCGTTTTATTAAAACAATGGCTTGAAACTGAACAAAAAGCACATCTAGGGATTCGAACTATGCGCAGTTCACCAACAGGTCAGCTGAATGACTTTAATAACCATGTGTCCATCATTATTTCACTTAAATAATGAATAATCTGGACATGATTATTTGAATAGAGTTGAGCTGGAATTTTTTACTTCAATTTTATATTTAAGGTTGAGGTTTGTGTGTGATAGGTAGGTGAGTGAGTTTATGCGACATGACAATCATCTTTTCATAAAAATAATTCAAATGGAAGGTACTGCAAATGTACTATTGAATATGTATAGCGATATAATAGATTATTGGCTAGCTTTAGACCTTTACGACACAACGGTTAAGCTGACCAACTACAAAGAGGAGACGGAACTGATAGTCAGCAGTTACTACAAAAGAAAGCAGTGCTTATTTACTGTGTGCCTAAGATCTCTTATGTTCATTATCATGTATGCTTAGATGATAATCACCACTCTATGTCGATTAGATTATACACCTGCTTAAGTTCTATCCAAATGTCGAGAGAGAATCCCAATGGCATGAATTGATATACCTATCTAAGATTAATTAATCCTGAGTAATCCAGTTGACTTCGCTAAATACTCAAGATCAGATGGCCGGCCAGAAAAGACCAGCAACAGAGATCTCTGGCAATGAGCTAACTAACCAGGAACCGATTGTGAAACAAATAGGCAGGAAGAAATGGAGATGGATTCACTGGCCATACTCTGAGGAAACCATCAAGTGACATCACTACACAAACCATTGCTCGATTGGAACCCGAAAGGGAAGCGGCGAGTTGGTCGTCAATGCAAGGGTGACTTGGAGGAGGTCATGTGAAGAGGAGATGAAAACGTGTGGGCAGACATGGAGCCAGGTGAAGACTCTAGCACAGAACCGAACGCAATGGAGACGCACGGCTGAAGCCCTATGTTCCTCTAGGAATTAAAGGAAACAATAATAATATAATGTAATAATAATAATCCAGTTGACGATCTCACTTTAAAACAAATGTAACGACAATACATTGTGCTTAGATCATGTCATTTTGGATGACGAGTACACTACTGAGGAGCATCTCTATCAGCAGTAATATATGGTGTGCCTATCTTGATACCCGTTCTCCCTTGTATCGATAATGAAGGTATTCACTTCATGCCTTTTGCCGGAGAGTTTGTGTCGCCAATTTTGCCCAATATACAGTTCTTTTTACATAGACAACTACGGACATCAATTCAATTAGATATGTGTAAATATCTTGAAAACAACAGAAATACGAAGAATGATAGATAATTTTCTTAGACGGATGGTGTTCAAGTCCATTCGCAGTTAAACAGACATGTCCATATAAGATTAGCATCAATCAGTAAAGAATAAATCACACATTCGAAAGAACAAATATCAGGTCAACGAAACGATCAATGACCAATACAGGTACGTGTATTGATAAGAAAGTCTCCTGAGACAACCAAACACACTCAAACTCATCATGAGACAAGGTCATATTACGTTCATGAAGAACTCTTAAGCTCAATAAACTTCAAGTGGGGTTGTAGCTTATCGGTTTACACATTCAACCTTCAATCACAGGTTCCAGTCCCACCTAGGTGATTGAACAACATCATAAACTCTCACATGATAACTGTAACTCTTAGCCAAATGGTACATGTAAATTCGGTTTCAAGCTATTTAGGTCAAACAAACAAACAAAACTCAACCTTGAGATTAACGCTGAAAACGTCATCTAGAGGGATGATGAAGTCCTGGTAGTTAAGCCATCCAGCTCATAGAACACAAACACACATCAAACGTTTATTTTATTTATTAAAGTATTGGTTTGTAGGGATTTGATTGATTGGTTACAGGATTTCATCATGAGCTGACATCAGTTAGAGAACCATGGGAAGACCTGGGAGTACTGGACAGCTTTTTCGTTGGCATAGTTTGGGACTCTTCATCAGTACTCACCCACCAGGGTTCGAACCCAGGACCTTCTGGTTACAAGGTGAGCTCATGAACCATTAATTCACTGGGACCTAGTCCAGTGACTGGTGAATTCCAACTTCTGCCAATTGTATTTAGCCTAACCCTACCCCAGGTTGGACGTACAAAAGTATATTACCATTCAAAGAATTTATCTTCACGTGTCGGTGGTTAAATAATTGAATACTCACCGGGTCCAATTCCTGGACAACGTAATTACCTATTTTACTAGCCGGTAATAAACCCAGAAAACAGGGAAGGTTGAGCGTGAGGCTAGAAAACCTATCCCGTGAGAAAACAAACACCACTGCTACTGAAACTTCAAGGCATGAAAACACCAAACTGACTGCGCATATATCGTTTCGTTTAACAGACTATGAGTTACAATATGTTTCTTTGGATCAATCTGTTAATAGACGAGCTAACAATACTATTAATGACTTGCTCCGATGGAAAAAAGTCTGGAACATTGAACATTCATGAGCATATAATGAAAAATGTGTGATTACTGGACTATGCAGCAATGAGCAAATTACACTCTTATGAAGAAAATCATTTTAATACCAAATAAAAGCTACTTTAACATATTTCTTTATATGCTTGTTAACAATTGAAGAAGCACGACAATTAGCGTTTTCAGTCTTCGGTTGTAGAGATGTGGCTCATCGACTTAAGGTAGTCGGCTTTCAACCACCAGTGGGGTTCTGAGTTCGACTCCTGCCCAGCACAATTTAGTAGGGAAGCCACATAATAAAAATGTGGCTTATAGCCTGGAATATATAACAGACGTGTTTCGGAGAACTGTGTTGAAACAGTTGTTGAGTTAGAAAGTTTGATAACCGAAGACATTATGTTACAAAACTGAACTGAACCAATAGTAACGAAGCGATCACATAATTTAATTAAAACGAGTTCAATTTCAATGGAGAATTAGACATTCACTCAATGTAGTTGCAGGTGCATTTGACAAGTTGCAAACAGAACAAAGCGGAACGAAATCAATGAATTCACCCACTGTTACCGACTATCACTTTTATAGTTAGAATAAACAGATGTTCTTTCAGATAAAAATACAGCTATACAATCAACATTGACCCTCATAGATGACCTGCCGGTTTCGGACAGACTTCGGTCTTATTCTCTAAATTCTCTCCTGTAGCCACGCGTTTATGCCCCCTGCCAGGTAAGTCCTATTTACTGCTTTCACAAGGCCAAGGTTGTTCCTCACAGAAAGTGAAGGGGTGAATGAGGACGTCTAGCGCTTACAACCAACCCGGTAGAGGACATACAATTCTACTAACCAGGGGAGCTAAAAAAACCCTGATTTCAAACCAATAGTGTACATGGGCTCCAGAATCCGGAAGGATTGAATGGCGTATGAACCTCTTTCGACTACCAGAAACTATGGGAACACAGCTACTGATGCTGCTCTACTGCCTTGTAGATCAGGATTCAAGAGTCAGAGGTATAAGGGTGGTCCTTCAAGACAACCACCTGCTTCAGCCTAGACGTCCAGGCAGTATTCCAGTTCTCGCACAAACTACTAGATTTTCCGTAGCGCATCTCTTGATGCCTGTAATTTACCAAGTTTGCGTTTTAATTATAATAATAACAGTAACAATAATATAAACATTAACTCACCTTGTAATATAATTCTTCTGATAAACCATTAGCTACAAATAGTGGAAGACCAGCTAAAGCTTTTTCCAAATCTTTAGCGATCAATTTAACACCTTGTGCACCTTTAATTTCTTTTAAATGTGTATACGTGCCTTTAACACGTAATTCAGACATTGGAGCTGGTTGAAGGACGCCACGAATCTGCGTACATATAGGACCTTCTTGACCAGCTAAAACAATTGTATCGCCTTCATGTAATCGACCATTGACAACAATCACATCTATCGTAGTGCCTAAACCGTGAATTTCTTTCACCTAAATAGAACAAAGAGAGAGAAGTAAACTGAATGTTACATAACGAGGAGGGTGAGGGGGGAAATCCTGGAACAGAAAGCATGTTTTAAAGAAGCCAGCTAATGAGACGTTAAGAAGCAATAACAATGTACATCTAAAACAAATCAGTCGCAAAAATAATAAAAATTTGGGATATTACAACCATGGGTTAAGCAAATTGTAGTATCTCTTGTCTAATAGCTATTAACTTGACGAGTTCGCATATAGCAATGACTCAATGAGCTGCACTGGCTGGGACGAAGATTCCTTCAGGTTTTACCATGCCAGAAAGGTTGACTGGATAATGCTAAGAGTAAATGCAATTACCATTATAGTGTAAGTCGGCTACGCTCGGTTCCTTCAGACGACCAGCAAGGCAAATATATTACCTCTCTGCTCTGGATAGAGGGAGTTTGAAAAGGTTGACCACAAAAATTGCATATTCTGATTTACCCTGTGGCAGTCTGCAGTTCGCGATGAAGTCTTCATACAGACACAACTCTAAAAAACCACTTGAAACAGATCATGTTTGATAAGCCTCAAAGTACTCGTCTCCTTGGCTTTGAAGTCAAGCAACACTAATGCCCTTTCTTCTTCAATTTACTATAACTGTCTGTGTAGACTTTAAACTGCATGTATAGATGCGATAAAGTTCAAATCATGAATCCATAGGTTCAAAACTGAGACAATAAACTAAAAAGAGCATAGTTGATAAATGTTTTAAGCATGCTAAATCAATGTTTTTCTTAAAGAGCGATGTTAGCTGAAGTACATTAAGGTTGGAAAAGGTTACAGAAGGACAGAGCAAATATCGTTAATACTGAGGCAGATATATCCGCCTTTTACTACCTTAACCTTTGAATTATTCCTTCTCCTTTTGCAAGTATGCTTTTCAAATTTAGTGCTATTCTGTTCTTAAGATCTTCTGATTTGTGTGTACTACTCAAGAGGGTGGCAACCTCAATTGATGAAATTCAGAGGAAAGTCACGCACACACACACACACTCGGAACCATGTCTTTACCAAATAACAACACCAGGGATACACTCATCTGTCTGGTTCTGAGGTATTCCATTTTATGAAATATAAGCTTAAAGCCTCCAACACGGCTGTTGTTGAACGTTAGAAGTCAACCCGGAAAAGCGTTCTTTTTGATTTCAGCTTCGAACATGTTGGTTATACATACTTCAACAAGGAATGTCGGAAACCATGTTCCTCCTCCTTCAGAGACACAATTTAACTCTTTTCATTTAATATCATACTTAAACCTGCAATCAGGACTGAAAATTTATGCAAAAACCTACTACGTTGTACCAATTTAATCCGAACTGTTGACTTAAGTTCAAAAGCAGCAGCAACAATGATAAGCTATCAAGGGTATAATTTTCATGTCAGATTTATTTTTTGCAAGTCAGTGATTGTAGATTTGAAGCATTGGAAGTCCTGTTCTGACGATGGTGTGAGGTCATAAGTTTGACTGAGTAGATTCTCAAACTGGACATGTGTATTTAGCTTGTTGACATTGAGATTAACATCGCAAAACTTCGAACCCATTGACAAGGCTTCCATTTGCAATTTTGATAGGGATATAGAGGAGTGATTAAACACGTATCACTCAGAATTCTCAGGAAATTTTCGAAGACATTCGATAGATTTTAGGCTATTGGATAGCTTAGAATTAAAAGACATTGTTTGTTTGTTGGTGACCACGTTGACATATTCATTAAACGTCTGACGTTCATCAATCGATAAGTCATATAGAGCAGAAGATCTTTGCGATATATTCCTTTCTAACTCAGGGATACGTCAGAACAGGACTTCCAATGCTTCAAATCTACAATCACTGACTCTTGCAATCAATACCTTAATGCAAGATTTATTTTTGTCATCAATAATAGAAGCAAACGATACGGGATTAATTCTATGACCCGAAAATTTCATTTTACAATTCACTAGTATATAACCCTGAAAGCTGTGTTGACATCGATGCGATGTCCAGTATCGACCAAGTGCGACAGGATCGAGCTTTCACTAGTACCAATAACTGAAATATCTGAAGTTATAAATGCATGACGTTATTACTTCAGTCGATTAACATAACTGACTGACAGATTTTCAACATAGAACTTTACACAGAAGCGCAGTAATTCAGGTTACCACACTCCATACAGTACACAAAGGCAGAAAAGAGAGAGGAAAAGGAAGCTAAGAGGAACTGAAGTAAGCAGAAATATGCGGAAGAAAGAATAGTAACATGGAAAAACATGAGAACTGAATGCATCTGCGCTACTACTGAGAAAGATTTTGAGCTAATATCACCAATAGTCTCAAGCCACTCACACCACCCTCTTCACATTCACAACTCTCCCCTTGTATCTCATCGGGCAAAGCCAGAAGCCTATATAGAAAAGTATATGCTCGCAATAGCAAGTACAAAAACTCAACCATACCCTACTTAGCTCGTGTTCTGTGCGATAAAGAAGGTATTAGGCGTGATACCTATAACTTATTAAATAGTCAGTAAAACAACTGGATCTCGTCTTTCCAACTCATATCATTTATAGGTACAACGTTTTCTTTCTTTCTCTCTTTCTTACAAACTCTATTTAGAACATTCTTCGTTCTTTCACACTCTGTATATCTCGACCTTTTTGTTACCGCTTACGCCAGTAAATATGCTAGCATCTACTTTTCTAACACCTTCAAACACTCTGTTCAATTTTGGTTTTGCTACCGACATGCCAATATGTTGTTGTCATAATGAACTGAGATTACCTTAATCTATGTAGAATTTTATTTATTGATAATGCACTAACTGGATGCAATACTGTAGTAAAATGCTGAGAATTCCATTCTGTATCACAAGTACTGTTTTGGAATAAAGCAAATTATTATTATCATTATTATTATTGGTTTTTAGCGTCCTGTGGACCCCAACAAGGCATCCTACACTTTCCTACGTGGTTCGTTCAAACCAACTGTCAAAAACTTCATGGAATGATGCCACCTTTAACTCTTTTCTAACCCGAACCTATTTCGGTCAATACCGATCGGCGAGAAAGGCAGTGGCTCCCCGCATGTGCAACATATGCCCAGGCCATCTCAATCGATCAAGCTTTACAACTTCCCCGAGTGACACTCACTTCCTTACTTAACAGGGGAATTTATACTTGTATTGTTGAGTTATATGACTCCAAATGAGTTAAAATATGCAAATTTGTGACAGTTAGTATATGATCTACCGGTTCAAAATTTCATTAACTAGACCACTGAGTCACACATCAATTAAATAGCTCACTTAGTCATCTGTAAACCTTCAATGTTATGATACTTGTCTTACACGCACCTATGAAAGGTAAAGTTCAATAATAAAAATAATAAAAGTACACAAAGTGAATCGTTTCAAATACAGGAAGCACAGATGCGGCTGCCACAGCCAGTCAAGATAAGGAAAGCAAGGCTACTGAAGACTTTCGTCGACATCTGCCTCCTTCTCTCCATACTGAAGATCAGACAGCCATCCAGGAAGGATAAGCAATAAGAAACTCTGGCGGTGAACCAATCAACAATCTATTTCTCAACAAGTATGAAGAATAAAATGCGGATGAACTAGACGCACGATGAAGAGACCCCCGAGTAACACCACATGCTAGACACTCGAGTAGAACCCGAATGGGAAGTAACGAGTTGTGCATCCATGAGCGTCATGTAAATCATAGGAAAAAGTGAAGGATAAAATAATACAGTGAAGACCTCAAGAAAGTAATATCACTTAATGTCTATCATCTGGTATAATGAAGTTGGTCAGAATGGTGTTTGAAACGAATCGATGTTACCGAATCATATGAAAAACTAAATAAACAAAGGAACATTTACCTGCATAGTCAAGAGAGAAGTGAACAGAAATACTGACCCATCAACAAGCAGGACTTCGTTTAAACGTATGACATTCGAAAGTTGCCACAGATTAAATGTTCATGAGAAAGCATAATTAGGTGAAGAAAAATGAGAAATCTCGGAATCCATATGCCACTGAGGGATGAATACAACTCCACCGCTGAAAGTAACTTCGAGCTATTTCATTGACAGTCCCAGAGTATCGATTCTTAGCATCCCAAAAGCTATCTACATCTCTCTACAAGACTCAGATCAACAACCAAGGACTATGTGAATTGATTCACTGTTTTCAACCGACGACTATTCCGTATATCTTTCCCAACTTAATCCTATATCAGCTAACATTATTCATCGGAGAAGTTGGTGACTAAGGGTACACAACGTATATCATAGCCATCCTAATAGATGCCACTTCATAACCTCATCGAGTAACCTGCCTTCCTAACGTAACACTGTGTCTGACTATATTGCACCACTGATCACGAGATTGAATGCAGAGATTACTTTCTAATTTCACCATCTGACATATGAGAGAAAAAATGTGATTGCTTGCACTGACAGTCTGAAATTCGCTCTTAGCAACTGAAAATCAGGCTATTTTAGTTATATAGAAATGTAATCACTATCATGTAATACCTTCTCCTCAAAAAGGAACAACATTCAACTAAAGTAAAACATTGGAGAGTTAATGTTAGTGCCACTAGTAACCAAAGGACTAGCATAATGAACCGACGAGAGTAACCTGGGAAATGTTACACGAAAAAATCCCTGACGTTATACATTAAACTGCTCACCACCTGACTATAATACTAGCATTTCCGAAATTGATTACTGATTTCGGAAATAATATACATAATAAACCGAATCGATATCATGAGATTTCCTTTTCAATTTACCATACAATCTTTTTTCTCTTACTGAATGCGAATCTAGAAAAAAAAGATTTTTTTGGCAGATATGTGTAAACACCACACCAATGACTAGCCCAGTTATTTAACATTTAACAAACTGTACCAATTGGGGTATACTTCTACTAATATGTTGGGGAAATATTATGGGATAGACCAGGAAACAACTGCTTTATTTAATCATAGATATACTAATGGAAATGACCCTGACTTTAACAACATGAGACTGACTTCTTACTAGGGGACAGTCTTGCCAACCTTGAGTCTGTGGATGAGAGTGTCCTCCAAAATGAAGGCACTGACAAAATGCCGAGTCTTCTGAACACCTTGAGCAAACATGATCAAATGTTTTGCATACCATTCGTTCCTATCAAAAGTGAGATGACGCTGCAGGACTAGTCTCAACCAACTTTTAGTTTAAAGACTATTTCGCTTATTTAATAATTGCATCAGCCCTAAAAGACTGACGAAATCTCATGAACGGATACGAAGACTAGTATGGCATTTAGGTTATCTTTGACGTATACATGGTATCCGACTGGTTATGGATCACAGGATGTATGTAACACACAGCAGTTTGCTCTGTCCTCCTTTATGGTTGTGAGATATGGTCACTGAAAGTAGAAGACATGGAAAGGTTAGCTGTCTACAACCATAGGTGTCTGTCTTCTATAGCCCGTGTTCAGTGGCATAACATGGTGAGTAATATTGAGGCTAGGAGTAGAGCGTCAGGTGAGAAGGATTAATCAATCGATTAGGTTGTGAAGGTGAATAGATTGAAATGGTTAGGATACTTGTCGCACATCCAGAACCACCACCTTCCTCGATGGATAATGTTAGGCAACATACAATTAGGCTAAAAAAAGTTAGGGGTAGTCAAACCAAACCCTGACATCAGTCAATAAAATCTTCGACTGTTGGTTTGATCTACGTAGGGAGGTGTAGATTGTCTGACTGAGATCTCTCAGAACCAATGAATTCAGATTGCTGGTGACATGGCTCGGAATCGTTCTGAATGGCGCAGATGTACTCAATTTATGTTATCTCACATATCCTTTACACCATCATGTTTCCCCATGTGATTACTCTTTCTCCCTTAAATTTCTGCTCATTATAGGTCTCGTCACCTTCTTTTGTCTCTCTCTCTCTCTTGTTTACCTTGAGTACTACATGGAGTGTGGCAACATGAACCACTGCGTATCTTTGCAAAGTTCTACGTGGAAAATCCGTCAGTTAACATCATAAAAGATAGATCAAATATCTTCGAAGGAATATCACAGAAATAAAAGTTAATTGTCATTGTAATTTTCGCTACTTTACATCACTTGATTTAACAGTAATAATATCAATAACAACAATATACAAGCATCACTTACCTCCATAACCGAAGCATGTAACTCTTCTGTATAGGATAATCGTTTGCTTAATTTATTTTGTAAATGTAAGCATAGACACGAGAGTAGATCACCCATTCCATCACCAGTATGCGCAGATGTTGGTACCATACTAACAAATTCATCAGGTCTGGTATTTTTATAAAATAGCTCCACATTCAACTCCATCATTGCAAAATCTTGAAACACCTATATGACATATCAAGCAAGCGAGTATAAGGCAAAACAAAATTAAATTAGTATGGTATGAGATATTCAAGTAACTGATAAGTCAACTAAAGAATACCACTCAAGTAAAAACAAAGAAGATGGTTACGCTACTCAAGGAAAAATACATGTATGCTGCACTGTATGTGGATAGTGAGTGAGAAGGCAATGAAGGAACTTGTTGAGAAAAACTAAAAAAATCACTAAGAAATATATGAAAAGTATGTTTCAAAAATTTCATGAAGATACTTTGGTAAGTAAAAAATAAACTGAATGACTGAACTCTACCATTGTATAATATCAGACGCTTCCAAAGAACACTGCCTACCTTCTACACATAACTGAAAACCGTGAATTGACAGAAATTAAAATTCATTGACCTCTGGATTGCGTTTCTGTAGATGAATGGTCAACGAGTGTGCCTGGTATCCTGAAGGTCGCCCGTTTGATCCCTGGTGGAATCATGGATGAGTCCCCAACTAGGACGAAACAACTGTCCAATACTCCCAGGCTTTAAATGCTTCTTTAACGCATATTAATCCATCATCAAACGTGAACAGATTACAATATACAGCATACGTCTATTTTAAACTCTGGTGATTTTACCAGTGTACGCTAGTGAATATTAGCTGATACCTCATGAATTGATTGTATACTGAGACTGATATATCTACCTATATGAATAAATTGGCTAATGAGTTCAAAACAGTTATGCAAATAAATGCCAAGGCAGCGCTACTTTGCATTCAACATGCTTCAACCATCAGTTAAGTAAGTTTAAGGGGGGTTAATATGTCTCACCTATATTCCACCAACTCTGGTGAAATATATTTACTTATGCAGGATTTTAGACAGTCTATCATAACTTAGAAATAAAAATATAGATCCCCTTAAATATGATCGAAATTGGAAAATAGTGATACCATTAAACTCTTTTGGTTGGTTTGCTTATGTCAGCTATATTGCTAAGTGTAGCGACTTGAACTGATACAGTCCTGTCCTTATATTTTTAACGTTTGCACGCTCATTCAGCACAACAGAGGAGATATAATGGTGACTGACAACTTAACTGCAGGTAGCTTAGGTATAAGGAAATCGTATGCAGCTCTAAGTCTCCTTCCGATTAGTCCTTCCGTGGGGTTTTGATTATTCGCATGGGCAGTTGCATGAGCATGAGATTTTTTAACTTCTAATTGAGAATGGGGTGTGCAATGATGTCTGGAGGATGAGTGGGATGAATGTAGTTGTGTATGTTACTTACAAAATAAAAAATGCTTGCTGTCGAATCATACAAGGCAGACTACTCCGGCTGTAATAGCCCCTTCAGTAAATGGAATTAACGTCTACGCCAGTTTATGCCGTCTCTGGCGTAGACGTGATATCCGGCTGGCTGTCGACAAAAGGACGTGTATACTGCTCAGCAGTCCGCTCCGTCCTCCTTTATGGCTGTGAGACCTGGCCATTGATAGTAGAAGACATGAAAAGCCTGGCTAGCTGTCTTTGATCATAGGTGCCTGCGTTCTATCTCCCGTATGAAGTGCTATAATAGGGTGAGCAATCTTGAGGTTAGGCGTCGAGTGCTAGGTAAAGAGGGGAGGTCAACCAACGAGCCTATAAAGCTACATCGACTGAGATGGTTAGGATATGTGTTACACATGCCTAACCATCGCCTTCCTCGACTGACGGGCAATGTAAGCTGACATAAGGTCAGGTTGGAAAAGAGTCAGTGGTGGTCAAACCAAAACATGGCCTCATCAGTTTAAGCCAGCCACGTAGGAAGATGTAAACTTCCTGACTGACTGGTTGGGGTCCTCGCGACAGTAAACACTAATGGCTGGAGACAATGGTGATCTGGCTCAATATCGTTCTCAATCGCTAGTGCAGATGCATCCACTACTTGAGACTTATAATTTCCAATGAAACTATATTGTTTTTCAAAATCACTATTCATTTTGCCTCGTGTCTCTGTTTACTGTTTCTGTTTGGGATTTCCTTTTACTTTCTTCTCTTGCTTCGTGCGCTACATGGAATGTGGCGACTCGAACTGCTGCACATCTGTGCAAAGTTCTATGTTGAAACCAATCAGTCAGTCAAATATAATTAATAATAGCATTATGATTATGATGCCAATATTGCATTTGATACTTGGTTCAGGAGATATGAAGACAACTTTAAAGTAGACTTTGTTGGCCACGATGATTCCTGAAAAGTGCATCACCTACTTCGGAATTCGGGTCCATCTGAATTCGATCAATATTTCCCCTCAAAACCCACGCGATAGCACATTTGAAGCCACACGGCAGACATTACGACATTTTGGTGATCATTCGTCCCTTATTAATCCTCGATGTCAGTCTTAAGAAGAGTGCAACTAATACATTGTGTTGAGGATAGCGATATGATGCACCTGGTCCTGTCAAAACCTATACCCTTTGTAAAATTGACAGTAGATTTTCCATACCTACTATCACAAAAAACGATAAACTTAGTCGAAGAGTTCGAATGTCGAGGTAGATGTGTACCGGGTGTTTCGGCGTGACGCCACGTAAATCTGACCACAAAACGTGTTTATTATGCCTCTAAGTCTGCAATTTTACTTTGCCCGTAAAACCTGGCGTCTGTGAACTGAGTATCTGTTAGTGACTCAGTGTTTTGCCACCTCTGTCTCCATGAAATTACACGCACAAGATGCTGGTATCGTGTAAAAAAATCCTGAGATTTAGCAGCACTGATCTAGACAATGTGACAATTATCCTAAAATGTTTGGCGGTTTGAACATGCATAACGAACGCTATTTCAGAGGACTGTATAGCTTATGTTGCGAGGTTCGAGACTGGTTGGAAGCGGTTAGCTCTTGGCGTTGAACTGTGAAATGAAGTGATGGTGTTTGGTTAGCATTTATTGGCCCCTGCACCGGTCTTAAAGGAACACACGTTACCACCTATTCCTTGAAACATAAACCAATGACGAACACGATGTAGTCTTCGTGTACTACTGCTATTGAAACTTCTCTCGTGTCGGACATTCCTCTTAGTGTAATTTGTAAAAATGTCTACTTTACAACTCATTCTCCAAATATATACTTTTCCTTATTTTCATATTATTGATAAAGTTGTTTTTGCCGTGTCCTTAAGTTCGCGTTCAGTAAATAAAGATGATTTCATGTGGTGCTGAATGCTGAAAAATTTGTCACAAATCCAATTGAAAACTGTTCGGCTATATTCCGAAACGTCAAAAAGACTCCTGGTTTTCCTCAAATTTAGAAATGAGGGACCCCAGTACACCTCAAATGAGAGAATTAAACTCAGTACGAAGTCAGTTTTATTAATATTTCAGTCAATTTCATCAGCTCTACTGAATCTTACTTAGATTTAATGCAACGCTAATGGAAATGAGGTCTACAAGTGAGCTGTAACCAAAATAGCATAGCTTAGCTAACCCTACACTACACAGTAACAAGTTTTTGATAACCACACTTGACTGGCAGGAAAAGAAACAAGGAATATTATTTTCATATAAAACAGAGCTTATGTTTTGCAAAAGGAAGCTCACAGAAACTAGATACTTAGAAAGTTTTTGAAATCACGAATTGAGACATTAATAATAACCGAGGGATTTCATTTCACAGTAATTGCTCTGTATATGCATGACACTAACGAGCATTAAAATAACAGAGAAACGATCTTATTTCACAACACAAAAAGTAGAGTTCAAAGGGTAAATGTTAATACTTCGAGATGTATACTGCAGATATCAGGCAAAAATGTCTTATACACTTTTAACGATTTTATCTTATTTCGAAAAGAAAATGAATGTATTTAACAGTACTATTGACTTTCAAAACATCGATATTATTGACATCATTATAGCTAATATCACAAACTACAATATAATGTTTGATCGATAAAACCAAGGAGATCTGCAAACACGATAACATCACAAAGTGTAACGATGAGCAGGTGTGATACAGCAATTTAATAGACATAAGTAGTTAACGAGTTCAACTTTTCCTAACGCTCGACCAAGCAAAATATTCAAGCACTCCATAGAAAAAGTTAAATAAGTTGAACAGTGTTATTATGGTTCAACCTTACTCCACTAACCATAGTTGAATTTATATGCATTTATGTTTAAACGAAAAGCTTTTCGGGAATGTATCTTAATTTAGAAATCAAAACCGATTACTTTAAATAACAATAAAATTGGAAACTATTGATTCCTAAATACTTTTTTCAATAAAACATGCATTTTCTGAAATCAGTAAACCTAATAATACCAACTACAGCACAGTGTCCGATCGATATAACTAAGACTTGCGAATATGATATCACTAAGATGAACGTAAAGATATGTCGGTGTGCTTCTATTTTAGTCAGTGAGTCGATGAATAATGGAATTCCCAGTAGTGTATACACAAACCTGATGGTTGTGTACAAAATACTTTACAACAATTAATTACATCTGAAACAACCCTTAATTTATCGCATTATATGACTAAATTACTAATTTTATTTCATATACGGGAAAACAAACTAACCTTTTTCAAGTGATCATCGAAGTCATTTTGAGTCATGCTACCTTGCATCTTCATCACCTCTTCAATACAAGTCTCAGGATTAGACTTCCATGCATACAGTCGATCAATTTTGTTGAGAGCCACTATAAAAGGCGTTTTGCGTGATCGTAGGATTTTAATCGACTCCTTAGTCTGCTCCTCTAATCCATGCATTAAATCAACTACTAAGATAGCAATGTCGCAAAGGGATGATCCACGTACACGCAGATTACTATGAATAGATAGAATTAACCGTTTTGTAAGATAATTACCTGAATGACTCGTGACCAGGAGTGTCGATTATAAGCAAACCAGGTAAACGCAACTCTGAATGATTCAAGTAAGGACACATGCGAGTTGCAAGTTGTATGTTTTCAAGTGGCACATTAGTTGCACCGATCTGTTGAGTAATTCCACCCGCCTCTCTATCTTGAACATGAGTATTTCTCAATTTATCCAGAATTTTGGTTTTCCCCGTATCGACGTGTCCTAACACACATATAACACCAGCTCGCAAGTTGTCTTCACTACGCTGAGCTTCATACGCTTCATGAGATTCCTAATCTTATAAAAATCACAAAATGGAAATATTACCTTTATACGTATTCGTGCCAGTTCTATCAACCTAGCCTTCTCTTCTTCGGGTAATTCAGCGTCATTAGTGATGGACGTTTCTACTTGATCAGAATGACTAGGTTTCTGATCGATGATCAAGTAGTCCTCAGTTTCTTCAGAACTCTCTTCACTAGGAGTTTTCAGGTGGGTATCTGCCAGCATTTCCCAGCAACTTATCTCTTCACTTGACATTTCTTGGTCTTCATTGACTTCAACTTGTGCTTCCTGCACTTCCTCTTCCTTCTTTGTTTGTGTGGGTCTCTTTTTAAGTTTTCCATACTGTGGTCTTTTCTTGACATCCGTCTTATCATCTGGAATTTCAATGCCACGTGCCTGTAGCAATTCCATAACTTTACGCCGGTCCTCTTTTTGCTTATCGGTAAGGAGCTTTCCCTCTTCTTTAAGGCGTTGTTTGCGTTCCTTCTCCTTCTGCTTTTTCTTAAGTTTGAGTTCTCGTTCTCTAGCAAGGCGGGCCTCCTCTTTTAGACGTTCTTCCTCTTGACGTCGCTCTAGCTCCTCTTGCTCTCGTTTCAATCTCTCCTCTTCCTCCCTCTGCCTTGCCAAGTCCTCCTTTATTTTAGCAACATGTTTTGATAACTTTTTCTCCTTTATGTCATCTTTGGTTTGTTTTTGATCTTTAGCGGGTTTCTTTTTGTCTTTCTTTTTGGCTTGACTGGCTGAAACGTCCTTTTTACCATCGTTAGCCGTCTTTTCTAAAGTAACCCCGTTATCCTCCTCGGACATGGTCTCACACAAGTCTACTTTTTAAATCTAATTAGCCGGAAAGTTACGGCACAACGGAAAAGTCCACGGTGCGACACATTTGAATGTTCCGGCATATAACTAGGTCACGCCATCAATATTCAATGCCCAGACATCCAGATTTCGTTTGTACCCCCGAATTAGTCTTACTATTCAGCTGAAAACAGTTGCAAGATTCTTTTCTTAACAATACATTTCTAGTTTTGCGAGCTAGCATGAATCAATGTATTATATAACAATGTCATATCATATGGAGAAGGAATGAGAATGAGACTCGTCTGCTTCCCATGCCGTATTTGTGAAGGCGATTCAAAAAACAAAGCTGCACACTATCTCCATGAAGCAAACAGACTACGATACCTATACAGTTAGTGACATTAGGATATTACTGTATTTGCGTTTATCAATAAGAATCAGATCTCCATCTAAGAGGTTATGGTGAAATATGACATAAAAAACAAAAAGTGATTTCAAAGTGTTATAATGCAAACATATCTTCGTGATCCAATTTTCTGGCGGCAGCATAAAAAATTAGCATTTCGACAAGTCAGTAACACTTGGGTAATTTGACAAAATAAGTTACGATGAGTAGGTCGTAAAACCGAAATTTGAAATGCAGTAGGTCTGATTAAAGGGCTATGCCACAGATTTTGATCGAGTAGATTGGGAAGAACTTGAGAGTTTGATAATGTGGGTCAAACAGAGAGGCAAAATACAAAAAATTAAAATTAAAAAAGGTTTATTAAGCATGGATTTATCACAGTGATCGAAGTTTGATAATGAATTCATTTTTAATACAAATCGGCTTTCCGAAGTTTTGTCGTGATAGCTTCGGCAAAGCAGAGACGGCTTGTATTGTTTTGCCTGTTCATCGTGGTGAATCCTACCAACTCATCTTCTTGTTGTGTTGTATCTATCAGGTAACCGAAAAGGGTTATATCACTGAGCTCTTTTATGGGAAGTTTTCCGGGACACCTTCAAAGAGACAGACTGACGTTTTTCTTTCCGTTCCCTCAGCATAACTGCAGCCAAGGATAATAATAATAGTATATTCTCATTTTACATGAGACCAGTTACAGCATATAACAATAGATTAAGAAGTATGGTAATGATAAAAAACAAGTTGTAAAGCCATGGATAAGTATTATTTAAGTTACATATTTAAATTACATGATTTACGGTTAAATAACATGGTTGTTGTCATTTTATCTTTAGTTTGTGGGGAAAATCGGATAACTGGTGATTCAATGGAACACACCAACAAATATAGAGATATTGACTTCGCATTAACAAAAAAACCCAAGTATGCGTTGGATGGATTACATATACTTGGGAAAATAAATAAAGCTTGAAGTCATTCTCATAAAACAATAAAATGCGTCTTACAATAATATATTCACTTATGACATGAGGGACTCCAGTTGACAGGCATCAACAATATGATAATAATGCACACACGGAGTAAAAATGTTTAAAATTTTTCACTAACACAAAATATATATACAAGGGAAGATAATGAAATATTGACCGTAAGTACACTTGAATGCATAATTAGCGTGGGAGATGACAAACCTAGTTGATTGAACCAACTATAGCGACGTTCGGAGGAGGTATACCGGTTTTGCTAAAGAATACCACCTAGTCAATAGTGTTCCTTACTGTTTATATGAGGTTCATCAGATGACTAGCTATGAAGTCAGGGTTAGTTAAAAGGTGGTGGTTTTTTGGCTACAGTTTTATCTGCTTTGTCACCCTACTTTTAACAGTATTCTTAAATCACTGGGCTACCTGATTTTACGTCCACTGAAGTATTTCTGATTTTATCCAATTCATATTGTTTTGGTGATCCAATTACATCTCTGGATCGCAACCTGCGCTCACGCCATTTTTCACATAGGACCCAGCCTTGGAAGAAAAAGAATGTCGAGATATTTTAGTTTAGGACGATATTGCTGCAAATGTTGCATTACCGATAATTAATATACTTGAATATTCTACATCCGGAGTAAATAAATCACAATCAGACATACTGAGAATTCTGCAAGATGTATCAAAGCATTTTACAGAGAAAATTGCTAATATTTTTCAAATAAGTCTACCATTAATTCCATCCCTTCTTATAGTATTTGAAGATGGCGTTTTGCAGGGTTATTGGTTGATTCAATATCGCGCTAGTTTACAGCTAATAATAATAAATTATATAGCGTATAAACAGGTAAGTTAACACGAAATGCATGCCATTTTTACAGGCATGATCAGTTATGTTATGAATTGCAATCGTGAAGTGTCATAAATAAACACATTTTCAAAAGTCTAATTTGTTCAATTATTATAGAAGCAATCAGAACATACTCGTATAACTAGGTTCATTGCAAACCCTTCACCATCAAAGTTGAGCGACAACCCAAACTTCGTTCTTTTTCCTGCTGTAGTGAACAGCGTATATTTGGGTAAGTGCTATGCCGCCACATTATTAAAAGCTATTTGAGGAAGAGAATAACTTCCTCTGTAACACAGCAGTAAGTGTCCAGTTAGGCATGCAAAAAAATATTGTTGCAGTTATACGCAATTTTCAATCCACATGCTGGCAGGAACCAGAATAATGGAGAACTAATCCATATGAAATGACAGTTGGAGAATCTAGGAGCTGGACATTATCATCACAAGAGTCAGTCAGATGCAGCCGTCAGCATGTGTTCCTTATTTCTTAATGAACAGATTGGTGCCGAACAGAAAGTCATAGGGATATTTTATTGGTATTATTGTATATTCCACAAATGTCATCCAGGATGCGCCGTGCAGGAAGGTAATGGGTAATTCGCGAGGCAGTTATAGGATATTGGGCCAGTAATGTTTGCAGATCATTTGTCACTGTAAGTAGTGAAATAACGACGTTCTTTATTCTCATTCAAAAATTCATACAGAAGCTAAAATGTTGAGAGAAATAAAAACACAAACGACAACATCACAGAAGAAAGCAAGTGAAGTCACTACGGAGTGATTTATATATATATATTCTGTGTAATAACTACGATTGTTTTGGTGCACTAACTAACTAGTCCTGTTATAATAACTTTTATATAATGTGTGAAGTAATATTAATGTCCTGTGCAGAAATGTTTATCATGTTCTTCCAATAATTTTAACATTTACAGTTGTAGCATGATGTGACTTATACGTTTAATGAACTGATGATATCTTTGTAGGGTGAAAAAGAGGGTTTAGGAGTCAGATGAAGGAATGCATTATCATCTTCGACCAGTCCGGCGACTGAGGAGATGAACCATGCAAGTGTCTCTGCATCAGGCATATTAGCTGGTTGTCTATTCCAAATGGCTGAAAAATAATTGAAGTTGTGTAACGATGGAAGACAAGGGCCAGGCAACAGATTCTTTATGGAGAAAATCAACAGATATTTAAAGGATTGTATGTACATTATGATTTGATATTGCTAGCAGAGAAGCAACGTTTTATGATTGGTTGCTTTCCTGCTGAAGGTCATTCTGTCATCTCTTTATTACCGACTCTTAGACAGTCCGGTGATATGTAGGCGAATTGTATCCGAACACGCTTAGTCTGTTGTGACTGGTCGGGGAGTTCATCTAGGTTATATTTTGTTACTGTTTTTTCTCGCAGCCCCGATTCGGGACGTGAACATTTACGTAAATTGTTGTCTAAAATTTCGTCTTGCAGACAGCTCTCGCCACAGTTGTACCGCATGTACGTCTGACAATGCCCCATAGCAACTAGGTTGTCGTGATTTCTAAGATTGTAACCGATGACAGAGGTAGATTTAGCTATTGGCCTGGAGGAGTGCAAGAGAAGATTGGTCAGCTTGCAGTAAAATAATGTATTTATTCCTATCTATGTAGAACACACCAGTTGTACAGGCATGGATAAGTATTATTTAAAATATATAAATTTGATTTATGGTGAAATCACATGGTTACTGTCCTTTCTGACTGTTATGATGCTAGATCTTTTGTCACTAGGTCACTGCTTAACTACTGACCAGTGCCAACTTAACTGGTAAAGCAGAACACGCGAGAATCAGAGGTAAAACCAGGTTTTTTTATTATGACAAAAGTGACTGTATTTATACAGAAAATAAGGTAGACTGGAAATCAACCAATCCGGTTGACAGTTGGAATTGTGTAAGCGTCCAATCAGAAGCAGGAACAATTGCATGTCAAGGACTTGTTAATAACGCGATAATAACTTGAATGAGACATGATAATGACCTGATAATTGCATGTGTTTTGCCTCTTCCTAACACTGACATTATTTTGTGGGTACAATCTTCTAACTAGTCATTTAATGGAGCACATAAAGAAATATAGAAATTTTGTCTTCGCATTAACAAAAAATCCAGGTATGTATTGAATGGATTACAAATATTTGGGAAAAAATGAAGCTTGAAGTCATTCCCCTCATATAACTTTGATGTGAACGGCATCGTATCTTGTTATTTGTCTATATCCAAATTGAGTATTAGTTCAAAATAAGTGATTTGTTTGTATAGTTTTGTCAGCATTTTCATCATAAGTAACACCAGAAATGGACTGTACTCAATGCAGAGTAATATTGGTTATTTTCAGGCAGATTTGTTTTACTGCGTCCATGTCTGCCAAAACCGCCATTTGTCTTTATTCCAAATAAAGTAATAAGTTTCTTTCAGATATAAGCCCAAGTTATGTCTTTGAAATCGGAATATTGTGGCAATAAAATGTTAAGCTGACTGTTGTGACTACATTAAAACTGAAATAAATGCTGAAATTGAGCTATGAATACTAACAACTACAAAACCAATTAAGACCATAGCGTCTCAATAAATAGGCCATATATACCAGTATTTTTGCATTAAAATGCAAAAATACGCGTTTAAATTTTGAACTTCCCACCTCATTCAGCCCATCACATTGCACAGATATCAGTATCAAGCGACATTCCCGGATACAAGTGCTGCAAATGTAACGTAGTTCAAGTACATCATGACGCCGATATTATGTGAATCAGAAATGTTTTTTATTGCGGAATTTCATTTAACAAGCATATAAAAACATAACTTGTTACTAAACCAACATACAAACGGACATGAACGCTACAATCAGCGGGGATATGCAATAAAGCTACTTGTCCAAAGTGGGTCAAGATTTAGAATCATGCACCGTGAGATGTACTCTTTCTCACAATTGTAGCCGAATAGTTTGGGCGTGAAATATCGTTGGATACTTTCCATCCTTAGCTTGTCACGTGTGCGAGGGCTGCTAAAAATAAATGGACAATATTCTAGTAGTGGCCTTACACATGCTTTGTATAGAATGAGCTTGGCTTCATTGTCGTGAAAGATCCTGAGTATACATCCTAGGAGCATCATTGACTGTCGATCTGTGATGCCACTTGCTCAGAGATTGTTAGGTCACTAGAGTACCCCAGGCCTAAGTCAGCGACACTTCGGAGTGTGGTTAAGTTAGCAGATTGAAGCGTTAACCTGATGTCGGTTGAGAATGCGCCGTAGCAGATGCAACCCCATTTCTTCAGAGTAAATTGTAGATTCCATAAAGACGACCAAGAAGTCACTTTATCTAATTCTTTCTGCACAACATTCTGGAAGTACTTTAGGTCATCACATTGGAATGTATAAGCTACTTTTAGATCATCTGCATGCGACGTCTTTTTCAGGGTGGTTCTAATCTCAGTCTGTCCCAACGCTCAGAGTATTTGAGACTACATTCTAAACCAAGAGTCCCTGAGGTAAATTGCCGCTGCACCCCCTGACATTTCAGCTTGTCATTCTGTCGCAGTCCACTAAGAGCAAACGGACAGTATTCTAAAATAGTTCGAACAAATACCTTGTGTAATAAAACGATAGTTTCACAGCGAAAGAAACTGCGAGCTATGTAGCCAAGGAGCCTTCGTGTTTTACGTCTAGCATTATCAGTTTGTTCAGAACACGTTAAATTACTAGAGTATTTGATACCGAGATCTTCGACTGAGTTGAGCTTGGCTAGCTTTCGCCCATTTACTTCAAAAGTTAGGTTAAGATTACTGTTGCCAATGCAAATCCAGCCACATTTGACAATGTTAAACTTTAGACAGGATTCAGCACACCATGTTGCGAGACCATTAAATTCAAGATGTATTTTATTTACCATATCGCTTAATTCATGAGCATAGCAGGACTTTGAGGTCGTCAGCATATAGGAATTGTTCACCTGAGGTGAAGCGGTTGCAAATGCTGTTAATGTAGACTGCAAATAAAGTGGTCCCAGGACACTACCTTGCACAACCCATTTGTGATCTGCCTGTGAGGAGGCAATACTGACTCGTCTTTGGTTATTTGTACCCTGTTGCTTGGAAATGATTTTAACCAGTTCAGTGGACTGGTACATCAACCCAGAGCCCCAAGTAGAAGCCGCATGGAATGAGTTCAAACGGCTTCACGCCCAAGTGACTGAACTTTTCATCCCTTGATCTGTCCTAAAGGGTTGGAAACATCGGCTCCCTTGGATAAACCGAGAGATTAGCAAGTTACTCAGACGTAAACACAGATGTTGGGACCTGTTTGCCACACTTGAGACTCCTGAGACCAGGAAATTATACAGCACCGCTAAGAACAAAGCTATGGCAGAAATCCACCAATCAACGATGAAGTTTGAGGCACATCTGTCTCAAAATGCAAAGGCACAACCTAAGAAAATTTTCTCATACATGCACTTCAGGAATAAGGCATCTAATGGTGTGCCAAACCTGGTTATTGACAATGCCACAATCGGAGAAAATCAAGAAAAAGTAGAAGCGGTGGCAGACTGCTTCTCTCAAGTCTCTACGCAGGAATCGCCACTCCCCCTCCTATCAGCTCTGACTGCATCAGAGGAATACGGGATAGATTCCGTTGACGTCGACCAAGACATCGTGCTCAACTGCCTAATGAAACTAGATGCAGGGATATCAATGGGTCTTAATAGTCTTCATCCAAGGCTTCTCAAGGATCCGTCAGCTCACATAGCCGGTCCACTGACCACGATCTTAAAGCTATCTATACTGAATGAAGTTTCACCTCGTGACCGGAGAGATGCCATAGTAACCCCCACCCATATAGGAGGAACAGGTCAAAGCCCTTCAAATTATAGGCCTATTGGTCTCACCGACACTCTAATCAAGACACTGGAAAGAATCATCAAGAAAAGTACCGTAGCATGTTAGGAAAACAACAATTTGATATCCACAGCACATCATAGCTCCCATGGAAACCTATCATGCCAGCCAAATCTCCTCAATGCAAAAGAAAGCTGGGTCAAATGAAGGGACAACAGAAGACCTGTTGGCGTCGTCTTCATAGACTTTAGCAAAGCCTTCGATAAAGTTCCCCAAAAGAGACTACTTATGAAGTTAGAAAGTTTTGCTATCAAATGCAGCTTTCTAAATTGGATTAGGGAACTGCTCACAGACCGGATGTAGAGGGTCAGGTTCAGCTAGAAATTCTCTTCCTGGACAATGGTGCGTAGCGGACTGCCACAAGACACGGTACTTGGACCTCTCTTATTTATTTTATATATCAGTGAGTTATCTCTGCTCACTGATTCCCCTACGGTACTGCAGGCAGATAACTTAAAGGTTTGGGGAGAGCTGAAGGGCGACAGTGATACACTCACGTTGCAAGAAGGCCTCAAAAAATTGTCAGAGTGGTCTAAAGATGCTCCCGATCAATGCAACCATGAGCATCGGACAAGTTAGCATCAGCTCCTACGAACTAGAGGGAATAACACTCTCGTCAGTTCAGACTCACTTGGATTTAGGTGTTATAGTAGGTTAGGACTTAAAAACCACGTCACACTGTCGCGTGGCGGCTGCACGTGGTTTCAAATCCTTATGAGCACTTCGCAGAGCCTTTACTAGAATCACCAGAGTTATGTTCACCTCCTTATTTACACCTCTGGTGATGTCAAGACTAGAAAACCGTATCCAGGCAGCCAGTCCTTGTCTTAAAGGGGACTCACTCATTCTAGAAAGGGTTTAATGTAAGCCAACACGTATGGTTCTCGGTATGACTAACTTATCATACTAGGAAAGGCTAGACAGTTTAACTCTCTTCTCCCCATCATACCGTAGGCGGGGAGGAGATTGAATCACAATGTTTAAAATTTTAAATAATGACTGGGGACCTGACCTATTCTCTCTTTCCCTTTCCACCAGGTCGCAACACCTTAGAGGACATAGCAGGAAAGTTCATAAGCCGAGAAAAAATTATAATACCGTTGAGTACTGGGTCTCACTTGGAATCGACTCCCAGAAGAAGTGGTGTCTGCAATCTCAACTGATTTGTTTAAGAAGGGCATGGACAACCACAGAAATTTACCAGAAAATAATAAAAATAGGCTCCAAGCCTTGTATTCTCAACCAATAAATCTGAAATTTGAACGTGTAAATTTTCTGTCATAACTGAGAAATATGGTATGAATTCTTAACAAAAGAGTGAAATGAACACTTGTTTGAACAGTGAAAGCAACCAAGGTTACGAGTGACGATATGAATGTTTTAGGAATTTGAAGGTGCAGTAAAGAATAGATACCACAACCGAATGACCCTGAACTATCGAAGCATGTCACCCAGAAGTACAAGTACAGTAGACGTTGAAAGTTTCACCGTGATTTAGAGTTAGAGTAGGGTTGACGTTAGTGTAAAAGTTGCAACGGAATTTATGAACAGGATAAATTCGGAATATTGAGAGACAGGCTGTCATCATGATGTCATGTTCACCATGGAGGTAGTCATCCACAAGAATCAGTTTATCCTGTATCTGGTACGCTCACTAATTCTCCTGGATGATGAACGTAGTAAAAATTAATTAGAATGGCATATGTCTATAGCTACTTGTATGACATCGTCAGGCTTGTTTTTGAAGAACATTAAAGACAAATACCATGATAGTTCATTTTCATTATTAATATCCAGTAAAAATACTTTCCACTTTCTACCTACATCCATATGATTGAGTGGCTCAGGATCATTTGACTTTAGTACCTATTCGTCACTGTCACCAAAATCTGCTCTTAACACAATAAATCATAAGATAATGGGCGACATCAAAATTTAAGGTTGAAGTATTCCTGCTGCTCGTCAATTTCACGTGGGAGATTCAAAAGTTTGCGTTATTACAAGGTAGGCGGCAGTATGAAGTAACTGTTGTTAATGTCAGTGTATCAGGGCTGTTATGAGGATGTACTCAGGTAACTGATATGAACGTGATCTTATGACTAAGCCGTTTGGCTTTTTACAAGTTAGGTCAGTGAATATGATATGGACGTCGGAAGATGATGTCAAATGATATAAAAGAATATGTTCTGACATTTAAGTCGTGTTCCACGTATTTGTTTTGAATATCTATTGTCCAGCTGATTGGGGCATTTTTTGAATGTTGACTTTTCTCGTAATGATTTGCATATCACATGTGCACTTGTTTGTTTAATGCAGTCGACTGATCCAAACGTGTTGCGAAGACTGTAATTTGAAATTTGTTCCCTCACAGGTTTCTGTAGTTCTGCAACCGTTTTGCATCTGAATGATAAGTAGGTGTGGACACTAAATTTGGCGCAGTGGCGGTGTATCTCGAGGTGGTTAATGTAACCCATGCACCTGTGATATTTTTGAAGCGACAGATGTCAACAGTAAAGTCAGCCGTAGCAAACAGTAGATGAAATTATTGTTTTGAAGTATATCAACGCACAATAAGGTAAAAGAAGGCATGCAAAATGCCATTGTTCATGAGCCGAGTCAAACCACATGGTCTTTGGAGGAATAACCAATAGCTGCACTGGATTAATATGATGTCAAATCCAAACGGATGCATAATAAGGATAGTTGATTTTCGTACAGCACTTAACACTTTGTAGTGTCACCATAATAGCCTCGCAAACAGTGAATAAGTAGCCTTACGTATATGAATGGTTTAAAGTATTTCTCCTCCTCATCATATCTGATCGTATTGATTTTGGAAGAACAAATTAAGCAGGCTGACGTTACGTCATTTTATTATTAGACTGTTGTTAATCTCGCTGCAGGTTACACTGGTTTTATTTTGTTTCTTTTTTGTTATATCAATGATATTTTGTTCTGACGATGTAATTTCATGCCCTTATAATTTCTGTCTATACTCTTGACCATTATAGATCAAGGTAGAAAAGTGGATATTTCATTTCTTGACTTATATTCAACCTAATTAGTCAACACTTACGTAAATACGTTGTACACTTTACACCTCTTTTGAATTTGTAACGTTCGTTCCAAATCCTACAAGATCCTTATATTCGTTTTTAAATATACCAACAAGCTTGACAATGACTTTTATTCCTTTTTATTATGCTATTTAATGGCGCTATATTAATGGTCCCCACCTTAAATATCAGTAAATATTGAAATTGTTTATGGTTGTATAAGACTGAAAAGAATCAAAACACTAAAATGACGTCATGTTGGTCTAATCCCTTTCTCGTTGTCATCTTGCTGAAGTTTGTCAAATGAGATAATTGCTTGAAATTTTGTTCTCTTCGGTAGATAATATTGTTGCTCACAAAATACAGTCTTCTGAACACCTTGGGCTGCAATCTGCGAATGTTTTGCAAGCGATTCGCTCCCACCAAATGTAAGATGATGCTACAGGACTGGACTACACTGACTCCTAGCCTAGAAATAGGAATTGAAATGGTAGGCCATGTTGACCACTACATTTATTTGGAGAGTTCTGTTAGCCAACGCCAGCGATTTGATCTCCGACGAAATCTCAGCATGGATACAGACGGCTCGTTTGGCATACACCAACTTATGGCATCTTGCGCGTAGACGTGATATCCAGCTAGCTGTCGACCAAAGGGCATGTGTACTGCTCAGCGCAGCAGTTCGCTCTGTCCTCCTTTATGACTGTGAGACATAGCCATTGAAAGTGGAAAACAAGAAAAGGCTAGATGTCTTTGTCATAGGTTTCTGCGTTCTATCTCCCGTGTTAAGCAGTATAATACGGTGAGCAATATTGAGGTTAGAAGTCGAAAGCAATCGACGAGATTGTGAAGTTACACCGATTGATATAGTAAAGATATGTGGTACGCATGCCTAGCCACCACCTTCCTCGACAGGCAATGTTAGCTGACATAAGATGCATCAGGTTGGAAAAGAGGTAGTTGTGGTCAAACAAAAACACAACATCAGTCAGCGAGATCTTTGACAGTTAGTCTAAGCCAGTCACATAGGGAGATGTATACTGGCTTCCTGGTTGGGGTCCTCAGGGTGGTAAAAACCAATGGAGGCCGTAGACAATTGGTGATATAGCTCAAAATCGTTCTCAATGGTTACCGGAGACACGTTCACTCTTTAAGATTCCTCCCAAATTACTATTGTTTTTCCTTCACACTTGTGTTTATTTTGTCTCTTTTGAATCTTTCTTTACTGTCGTCTCTTGCTGTGTGTGCTACGTGGAAGGAGTGTGGCGACGGGAACTGCTGCACATCTGTGCGAAGTCCTACTTTGAAACCAGTCAGTTAGATAATTTGGTGCTTGTCAAACTGTCACTTGTTTACTGTAATTCGTCAGTAACCTAGTAACAGCTTCATTGAGCAGTAGTCGTATACCCCTGATAGTTCCTCATTTTCCTATTTACCTAAGTGAATTTTCCATAGACCCAAATAATATAGACTAGCTTTATAAGTTAGTCTCTGTTCGTAGTAGACTAACTACGGAGTTAGAGTGGATTGCGTTAATGAGAGAATCAACTGTATGACCGGAATGTGAGTCTATCAATATAGGCAGACGCATAACAGTCAGTGACCCAGTTTGTAGGTGATAACAAAATTCTTTAAGTTGTGTAACGACATAGTAACAAAAATATTCTTGATATTTCTACACATTTTTAATAACTATGTAGTATAAAGTAGACCTTTCTACAGCATCTGGAAAGAAGGACCTTTCCCTGTTTTAAAGGATAACCCTACAATCTTTCTGCTTTCTTAAAACAGCACTAACTTGAAAGGTAAAGCAAGTAAATTTGTTTTTGAAAGATTAATATTCTACCACCCTGAATATGACCACGATTCCGAATCCTGTTGGACCTGAATTCGTATTAAGACTCTTACTTTGACACCTCGTTCAGTTACAGTTTCAACCGTTGGATTACAGGAAAACTTTCTCTTTTCAGCACTAATCTTATCAGTTCCTCCCACTTCTTTGACTTTAGGTAAAGTGCAAAAAAATACTAATCAACTTGTGAAATAACACTGTCATTAGCTATCAAACCGCAGTATGCAGAAATAACGAAATTATCAACACTGTGTATATTATCAAAATGAAACTGTATGTACCATTTTCGAACTTAAATAGGATTATATGGTATCGCCAAGAACAAGATCAGGTTATCAGAAATATTTTGAATTCTTATTGCAGTTTTTCTACCTCACTTGGATTACTAGGTGGATTACAATGAACAAATGTAGGCTCATCATGCTTATCATGTAGTGGACATCTTCGATTTCAAACATTTCCTCCATTACTTTTGATCGATAGTTCTATTCGTTATCTAAGGGGAAACAAGATTTGAATATTCTTAAGAAATAAACCAAACTCTACCGTAAAGAACACTTAAAATTTTTCTCTCCCTTAAGAAGATTTGAAGATCAGTTATAAAATCAATCACCTCACTTTAATAAATATTGTATTTTATGGAAACCCAACCTACTCAGTGGTACCGTTGAAAAAAAAGTGACTTTATCATTGTCTTTGTAATCGATGAGATAAGCTGTCGCGAAGTCGCCTAGATATATTGACCCTTCTCAGAGATAGTATTTGGAGTAATCCTACTTTCCCTCAAATAATATGGGTATCCTTTGTGGTGCAACAACAAGCAGAGTAATTTATCACTGCTGAACGAAGTTTTACACACACGCGGACTTCCTACAATTTCGTGAAGGTAACATTAGTTACTTGTCGGTGATTATTTTGTTCTTGAAGCCCGCTTAGTCATATTTAAATCTATTCTTACCATCTATTTTACGATTATTCACCTACCTTTACATGCTTCTATAGGTAATTCATATATATATATATATCTATAATTTTAGCATAGAAATCTGTTCTTGTTCTGTCACCAGTACGTATCCCAGTAGAAGCATCTCTTCTTGGAAGTTCACTTCTGTTTACTGAAATTCCAAAGCGGAACTAGATGACTTACAGTAAAGCATCACTGCCCCAAACTAAAAATACTTACAATACATTTCGTACCTCAGGTATGGAGATGCGACCATGTAAATCATCGACTTTACTTAAACGAATGTTCGTATCTTTGATGGCAGATTGCTTCTGAAAGTGGTGAATAAAATAAACATTATAAATGTATTTATTTGTATTAAAGAGTCCTTAGTTTTCAAGATGCTGAGTCCACGTTATCTGCAAACTCTTTTCTACCATCATTATACACGAATAAAACACCAAGACGCATGAATTCTCTAATAGTAACCTGTACTGACACTACGATGATCAGTTGTTTAGCCTTCAACGTTGTAATGCTTTTCTATTACCTTAAATCTACAGAAAACCTACTAACTGAGTCATAAAAAGAAGGTGTAACAGTGAAGAAAGTTTTGTTCATTTTTTGGTGCATCATTTCAAAAGTTTTATGATCGTATTTGTTTATATTCGACACTACTAGAATTCATAAAACAAATCAGATACTACTGGTAATTGTGTTTTAGAAAATTTGTTTTTACATAATGTAAGCTATAATATACGAGGAAATGTACAAGTGGAGAATAAACAGCAAAAGTTGTTATTGTGTAATAAGTGTGAGAAATGACATTTGTCTGCATAGAAATATTGGACTAATACTAGTAGAAATACAGTGCAATGCTACTGATAAAAAGTAATAATAACAGACTGAACATCAAACAATAAAAAGAAAGCAAAGTTATGGCAAGAATGTTCTTCGGGCAACGGTTGGGTTAGTGAGTATATATTATGCATTTGGACTCAGAGACCCAGTTTCAGGTTCCGAATAGTCAGTGATTCGGATGTGTACAGAAGTTATATTTAAAGCCTTCCTGCCCATTAACCAGCTTACCTCATCTTTGGCGTAGATGTGTTATCCGTCTGGTTTCTGATCGACGGACGCGTGTACTGCGCAGCAATTCGCTCTGTCCTGCATAGCTGAGACATAATGCATTGAAAATGAAAGAAATGGAAAGGTTAACTGTATTCTCGTTCTGTCTACTGCGTTAAGTGATATAGTATGGTGGGCAATAATTATGTTAGGCTTATAGTAGTGCTAGGTAGGGAAAGGGAGTCGGTCGGTAAAGTTGTGAAACTGCATCGATTGAGATGGCTAGGACATGTGTTGCGCATACCGAACCACTGCCTTCCTGAAATAGAATTACGTTAGAAAAATGCTTGCTTCGGTCAGACGAATCTGATATCAATCAATGAAGACTGTAACAGCTGGTCTGAGCCACGTAGGGAGTTGTAAACATCGGTCTTGTCGTGTCATTTGAGCTGGTTGATTTAATTGCGGAGCTTTCATTGTCCTTCTAGACAGCATCTTCAGCACAAGCTTTAACATGAAGTGAACCTGTTTGAATCCTCTATGAGTAATATAATTGTATCTCCTGATAACCTCTGTCATGATTGGTTATTAATTTACAACTCTACTTGTCCTTTTTATTGACTTGGAATTTGAACTTTCTCATCATGTGATTTATTTTTAATTAGTTGGTAAATGTGACCTATGTCTGTTAATCGGTGATTTATCTGAGTACCAGGCTTCTAGTGAATCTCTGTTTAAAATTTCTACATTTTTTCGATCAAGGTTTAGACTGTCTGGTTACGAACCTCGGGACGCTTAGAATGATAGGGAACTATTTATGGTATTGCTCAAAATCTTTCTCAGTGCTTTAGATGCACTCTTTGTAGTGTTGCAGATCCATTAAGTTCTCATGTTTTCCTTGTTAATATCCTTTCTTCTGTACATCTCTGCTTATTTTGGTTCTTTTGAACTTCTTTTCTGTATCTTGGTGTACTATATTATTACTATTATTTCCTTGGGTTCCGAGTGGAACATAGGGCTTCAACAACACATCTCCACTTTGTTCTATTAGGTGCTGTCCTCTTCAGCTGGGTCCACGACTGCCCATAATCTCTCATCTCCTCCATGTCACCCTCGCAATGACGACGACCCACTTGTCACTTCGCATTCGGATTCCATTCCAACGATGGCCTGCATTGCGCGCAATGTCATTCGACGGCCCCCTTAAATTATGCCCAATCCATCTCCATTTTCTTCTACATATTTGTTGGTTGGTTTGTTGCCAGAGTTTCTTGAACTATATAGGGTGTGGTAACTTGAACTGCTGCACTTCTATGCAAAGTTCTATGTTGGAACTCAGTAAGTCAGCCTTCTCCTGTGATACTGAGGGACTTTGTGTGTATATGTCGTAGATGTGTTGATATAGGGTAGGGTAATTTAAAACTGCCCTAACTATAATGGTATTTTTTATGCTAAAAATATTGGTATATGTTTGTATTGTATTATCTAGTGTAACTGTGTGACTCATTGGTGGTGTAGGCGGTCAAATTCCAACTAGTAGATCACAGGTTCGAGCCCCCACCCGACGTTTGGACAACTCTGGGTAGTATTACCAGCCCACTTATACACACACGTACCAGTAAATGTGGCTTATTGCCAACTGCATGGGATTGAAAGTGGTTGTTGAGTAACATTTGATTTCACACTTTGTCTAGTCACTAGTTAGTAGCAAACGTTATGTATCTGGTCTTGAGTTTGGTGCAAACTGAACTCTATTGTAAGTCAAGATTGCAATACAATCATTAAGCCTAGTGTGGCTCGTTATTAGGACGCATTCTGAAATGGCAACGCTAGGCGATGCAGGTTCAAACCTCAGAGGGGACATAACTTCCTTGAAGATTGTAGATACGCCTTGTTGACGAGTGTGTGCAAGCACGGAGCCTAGGCCAAGCAAGGTTTCTTAGACATAAAAAGACTAACTGTCCTAGGACGCAGGCACCTATGATCAGCTCCCGTGTTAGGTAATATAATGGGGTGAGTAATATTGAGGTTAGGCGTCGAGTGCTAGGTGAGGAGGAAGGTTCTGAAGTTACATCACTTAAGATGGTTAGGACATGTGGTACGCATGCCTAGCCATCACCTTCCTCGATGAGCAATGTTAGCTGACATAGGATTCATCAGGTTGGAAAAAAGCTAGTGGTGGTCAAACAAAAAACACGACATCAGTCAATGAAATCTTTGACAGTTAGTCTAAGCCAGTCACATAGGGAGATGTCAACTGGCTTCCTGGTCGGGGTCCTCAGAGTGGTAAAAACCAATGGAGGCTGTAGACAATTGGTGATATAGCTCAAAATCGTTCTCAATGGTTACCGGAGACAAGTTCACTCTTTATAATTTGTCATATCCAATAAAACCACATTGTTCCCCTACATTACTTTTGTTTTTCCTTCACACTTGTTTGTTTAGTCTCTTTTGAATCTTTCTTTACTGTCGTCTCTTGCTTTGTGTGCTACATGGAAGGAGTGTGGCAACTGGAACTGCTGCACGCCTTTGTAAAGTCCTGTGTTGAAACTAGTCAGTCTACTCGTACTCATGCAGCCAGGTGAGGGCCTATGGCGAGTTGTCATCTGAAGTGGTGACGACTAGTGGCGTCCGTCAAGGATGCCCATTATCCCCATTCCTATTCAGCTTCATCATAGACGTATTAATGGACTTAACCCTAACAAACTTCAACGACTCAGGGATTGACTTGCTACCAGGGAATAATCTCATCGACTTAGAATATGCGGACGATATAGTCCTTCTAGGCGAGGACGCTGACAAAATGCAGAGTCTACTGAACACCTTGAGCAACAATCTTCGTATGTTTGGTATGCGATTCGCCCCTGTAAAATGTAAGATGATGCTAGATTAGAAATAGGAAGTGAAGTGGTAGAGCACGTTGACCGATTCACTTACTTGGGAAGTACCATCAGCCCCCACGGGTTGATCTCCGACGAAATCTCAGCACGAATACAGAGGGCTAGGTTCGCATATGCCAGTTTACACCGTCGCTGGCGTAGGCGTGATATCCGACTATCGACCAGAGGGCGTGTGTACTGCTCAGCAGTCCGCCCCGTCCTCCATTATGGCTGTGAGACCTGGCCATTGAGAGTGGAAGACACGAAACGCCTTGCTGGCTAGCTGTCTTTGATCATAGGTGCCTGCGTTCTATCTCCCGTGTGAAATGGTATAATAGGATGAGCAATATTGAGGTTAGACGTCGAGTGCTAAGTAAAGAGGGGAAATCAATCGATGAGGCTGTGAAACTACATCGACTGAGATGGTTAGGACATGTGTTACGTATGCCTAGTCATCGCCTTCCTCAACAATGGGCAATGTTAGATGATATAGGGTCAGGCTGGAAAAGAGCTAGCGGCGGTCAAACGAAAACATGGCACCAGTCAATGAAATCCACAACAGTTAGTCTAAGCCACGTAGGAAGATGTAGACTTCCTGGTTGGGGTCCTCCGGACGGTAAAAACCAATGGTTGGAAACAATTGGTGACATGGCTCAAAATCGTTCTCAGTGGCGCAGATGCATCCACTCCTTGTGTCTTATGATTTCCAATTAAACTGTTTTGTTTTTCGTTATTACTATTCCTTTGTCTCACACCTCTGTTTACTGACTAAATTATGCATTTCTCCTACTTTCTTCTCTTGCTTTGTGTGGTACATGGAGTGAGTGTGGCGACTTGAACTGCCGCACATATGTGCAAAGTTCTATGTCGAAAACCGACCGACCGACCGAGTCAGTCAAGGCTCTCTACCGATCGCATTCAGCCATTTAACATTTCATTTCGCAATGTATTATCTCAAGGAAATAGTGGTATTTTCTGGCTATTTGTACAAAAAGTGTTTTTTTTAAGATCCTATATAAATTTTGGTTGATTTGTTATTCCTTTTTTTTGCATTGTAGATGGAGTATATAGTGATTTCTTTATCAGTCTGTAAACGATGACTTGTCCTAATATACACATAAAACACTGCAAAAATGAGAATTGTTCACATTCACTGAATTTATTAGATTGTATCACTCATGTCGATAAATTTCTGTATCGTGAAGTTCAACTACATGGTGATAATTTATTACGAGGATTATCTACGTTAATTCCTCGAGTAGAACACTTGAATAGTAGAAATGAATTTCTGAGTAAAATCAAGTCCAAGTTGCAGACATCAAATGAAAATAATTTTCATGCAAGATTACAAACTCAACCATCATCAGCATTATCATTACCATATTCGACACTTTCAAATTTAAATTCACAAGAATCTTTAAGATTATGTGTAACTCAGGTAAGAGTATATAATAACATAATGTTATATTGTATAATATTATTGTTCATTCTGTACTTATATCTCTAGTGGGCTATATCCATTGCACTCGGTTTTGTGATTCCACTTTCAATTGGACTATTCACATGATCTTATCCATACCACACACTCCTCCAATTCATCGCCACTTCTTTCTTGGTTGTTTATACTTCCTGACCGTTTGGTATTCAGTATGGGGAGAAATGAGGAGGGTGTTGATAGGAGTCTGCAGTAGCCTGTTGTAAAATGCTTTTGATGGAACGTGCTCCAAGTCACTGAACCACATAGAAGCACTGACTTGAGATTAGTGTTGAGAATTCAAGTCTTGTTTCTAAAGCTAAGTGCTATAGGTCTGGTCTCCACAGTGATTTTAGATTGATAAAGGTCTATCATGTGGTAACGCACAACGGGAAACTTACGGAATCCTTCGAAATGAGGACAGGAGTAAGACAAGGCTGGCTGCCTACTATCGCCAGTGATTTTCCTGATAGCAGTAGACTGGATCATGCGACAAACAGCAGGCAATGAGGAAACAGACATAAGATGGACTCACACAAAAAACTTGGAGGATCTGGACTTCGCCGATGATATTTGTCTGATTTCCCACAAACTGGAAGATATGCAAGCGAAAAGCAACAAGTTGGAAGAAGAAGCATCAAAGATAGGACTTCAGATGAACATAGAGAAAACAGAGGTGATGAAGATTCCTGGGCAACACCACCAACAACAGACAACAATCAGCATAAATGGAAGGAACCTGAAAGAAACAACCTCTTTTACCTACCTACCTGGGAAGCATCGTTTCAACTACAGGCCAACGGAACTGACGAGGATATCAAAGCAAGGATCGGAAAAGCAAGACAAGCTTTCACTACTTTCAAGTCTGTGTGGAGGTCAACAGCACTCAAAATCAAAAATAAGATCCGGATTTTCAACTCCAATGTGAAGTCAGTGCTACTCACTATATGGATCAGAGACTTGCACTGCGCGTCATAAAGAGCATCTCAAACAAACTACAGACCTTCATTAACAGTTGTCTTCGCTCAATACTCAAGATCAGATGGCCGGCCAGAAATGATCAGCAACAGAGATCTCTGGCAATGAGCGAACCAACCAGGAACCGATTGTGAAACAAATAGGCAGGAAGAAATGGAGATGGATTAGCTGGCCATACTCTGAGGAAACAAACCATCAAGTGACATCACTAGACAAGCCATTGCTCGAGTGGAACCCGGCCGAAAGGGAAGCGGCGAGTTGGTCGTCAGTGCAAGGATGACTTGGAGGAGGTCATGTGAAGAGGAGATGAAAACGTGTGGGCAGACTTGGAGCCAGGTGAAGACTCTAGCAGAGAACCGAACGCAATAGAGACGCACGGCTGAATCCCTATGTTCCTCTAGGAATTAAAGGAAACAATAATAATAATATAAAGGCCTAAATGTGCTTGCTAACCTGTTTTTGTTCTTAATTCACATCATATGGGATTTGAGCACTGGATATCTGATTCGTCCTAGTTTTGGAATTCTCGTCAGTGCGTACCCATAGCCCATCCCTCTCCTTCCCCCATCATAAATCGAACCTAACGAACCTTGAGGTAATACGGGGCGAGTTCGTTCACCATTCAGTCACTGGAATAGAATCCAGTGACCCATAATGAATTCTAACCTCTACAGATTCGTGGTTTTAAGTGTTACCATCAGCCAGCGTCATCAGCGAGTATTTGTCGTCATACTCGACATGCTTTGACCCCACTAGTTATAACTCTTCTCACTGGAATTCCAAACACTTTCATCCTGTAGTTAGTCACCAGTGATAGCTAGGTCAGTTATCAACTATTAATTTGTCGGAATTCGACTAACTTTGAGTGGGGTCATGGAGCGATATATATAATAATAATAATGATTTACTTTACTCCAAAAACAGTACTTGTGATACAGAATGGAATTTTCAGCATTAATCACAATATTGCATCTAATTTCCTCAAATTATAAATAGAATTAATCACACAGAAAATTTTTCAACATTTACAATAGGGGTAATGTCAAAAAACATGCAGCATATAAAATGGAAATAATAATGATAGCAGCTAAGGTAATGATAATAATACAAGTGGAAATTGCCGTGGGCTTGTTTCACACAGTATTGTCGATGCGGTATACAAATCCTTGCATAATTAAAAATATTGAATATAATGTCCTTTTTACATGATATGGTGAGGAAAAAAACAAAGATCACAGCAGTCATAGAGATAAGTTGGTGTTTGCAGTTATGAAAGTAAAAACAAAGAAGCAACAGGACCATAAGTGTAATAGAAATAATAAAAGTAAAACTTGAAGGTATATAAGGATGGATGGAAGAGATTGTTTATTTACTAGATGAAAAAAGGTTAGTCAATTCTTGCCTGACGCTATTTCGATCACATAAAATAAGTGCCAACTATGGTATCATAGAATTTGCATACTTAGACGTGCGAGCATACAGTTTTCTGAAGTTACTTCTTGTTCTACCTGAGGAGATGCAAGGTGAAAGCTGAGGGTGAAGTGAATGCTCCAAGTCAGACAAAATCCCTTTAGCAAATTTACTGCACGAAGTCAAGTGCCTATCGACAACGACGTTAACTATGTAGTCCACTGGGACACCACTCATCCTACTGACAGTCTTCAGCATTCTACGAATTGTGACAAAGTCCTTTTTAGGTAAACCAGGAAAGAATAAGGGTGAACAATAAAGAAGAATAGGTAGGATGCAAGAGTCTATGAACTGTAAGAGGAGGGGTTGAGTTATACAACATATATATACGTATATATATATATATATATATATATATGCGTCGGTGGCACAGTGGTTAGGGCTCTCGCCGACCGTGCACATGGTCCGGGGTTCGATCCCCAGCTGTCGCACACTTGATATCAATTGGTCGTCCTGCTAAATTTGGGCTACCAATATCATATGCTGAAAATTCCATACTTGTGCCAATAATACGGTGTGGAATCAAGCTATAATCAAATAAATAAATAAATCTTATTTCTTATGAATAATGCATTTTTTTTTTAAAATTGTGATCAAATTTTAGGAAAATAATAATGATGACATGAATCCAAGGTGTGTTATTACACCTATCGATACAGTATCAACATGTAGTGAGGCTTTAAGACGTGACCTAAGTCAAAATGCATTCAAATCAACTCCTAATGATACTCCTATTAATGGTGGTGATGATGATGATGATGATCAAGAATGGAACAGATCGTCTACACCTGAACCTGATAAAGATGATACGAGTGAACCAAAATCAGTATTTGAGGTATGTTCAGTGTGTGTATAGCTTTTATTTTAGTATAAGTTAATAATTATTTTATTTAAAATACAAATTTAATAAAATATGAACGCTAAAAGATGCACCACACAATAATAGGTAAAGTGAAACATAGAGGGAGAATGAATGAGGGTCGTCTTCTAGAAAGCATGCATATTTGTCAAGATTATTCAACATGCATTACTTCATGGTACTTTCAGAAAGAGGAGTATAAAGAAGGAAGTTTCGCCAGTGGTTGTGATTCTTGGCCATATCTGATAACGTATCAAGCCACCTATATGAACTGTCTAGCGGTCCCCAACCAGGGTCGGTCGGTCGGTTTTCGACATAGAACTTTGCACATATGTGCGGCAGTTCAAGTCGCCACACTCACTCCATGTACCACACAAAGCAAGAGAAGAAAGTAGGAGAAATGCATAATTTAGTCAGTAAACAGAGGTGTGAGACAAAGGAATAGTAATAACGGAGAACAAAACAGTTTAATTGGAAATCATAAGACACAAGGAGTGGATGCATCTGCGCCAACCATTGAGAACGATTTTGAGCCATGTCACCAATTGTTTCCAACCATTGGTTTTTACCGTCCCGAGGACCCCAACCAGGAAGTTTACATCTTCCTACGTGGCTTAGACTAACTGTTGTGGATTTCATTGACTGGTGCCATGTTTAGGTTTGACCGCCTCTAGCTCTTTTCCAGCCTGACCCTATATCATCTAACATTGCCCATTTTTGAGGAAGGCGATGACTAGGCATACGTAACACATGTCCTAACCATCTCAGTCGATGTAGTTTCACAGCCTCATCGATTGATTTCCCCTCTTTACTTAGCACTCGACGTCTAACCTCAATATTGCTCATCCTATTATACCATTTCACACGGGAGATAGAACGCAGGCACCTATGATCAAAGACAGCTAGCCAGCAAGGCGTTTCGTGTCTTCCACTCTCAATGGCCAGGTCTCACAGCCATAATGGAGGACGGGGCGGACTGCTGAGCAGTACACACGCCCTCTGGTCGATAGTCGGATATCGCGTCTGCGCCAGAGACGGCGTAAACTGGCATATGCGAACCTAGCCCTCTGTATTCTTTCTGAGATTTCGTCAGCGGTCAATCCGTTGGGCTGATGGTACTTCCCAAGTAATTGAAACAGTCAACGTGCTCGGCATTCCCTTTACAGCCAAGCATCGCCAGAGAACCTCTCGGTAGTCGGGATGTACTAACTGAGGCTAACTTAACACAAATATCCTTCGTCCCACGATGCTACGTCGTAGGCTGACTACTTCTTTCCATCGAGTCCCAGGGCTGGCGAACAGAAACCGCTATGGACACCGAAGCTGGTGTTTCCAGATGATAACACTTAATGAATGGTGATCTCTACCGTGCCAAAACACACTGCCATCAGCCGAAAGTAATTCTACGGAGATAGCGATGATCGAATGTGTAGAGTCGCTGCAAATCCTCAGCTTGGAGAGGCGAGGTTTCGAAGGTGTAGAACAAGACTGCGTGCATTGAAACATAGTAAACCCAACCCTTGTCAACCAGGCTGACATCACGACGGTGCCAAAGGTGGCCCAAGTTGGTGTATCCCACCCTAGCTTTTACGATACCGTTAGAAATCTCGTCGGTCACACTGCCGCCAGCTCACACACACAACTACCTAGATACATGAACTTGTCGATAACTTCAAGTGGTTCACCTGGAAGGGTGAGGGTAGGTACTGGTTCCTGCCTACGCTATAATAGTGAACTTTTTAATTTCATTGTATCTGTTTTTAAGGTTAGCACTTTGTTTTTTTCAAGATTGATCACGAAGTGACATCATCTAGAGAATCACTGAAAGCCAGGAAGTACTGGATGGATAGGTGTTTCGTCCTTTTTTGGGACTCTGAAGCAGCACGCACCCGTAACGCCACAAGGGATTGAACCCAGGACCATCAGGTAACAAAGCGAGCTCGTTTACTATTAAGCCACCAGGATGGAGTTCAACAGCTCATCGATTCTAACTTCCTTCAATTCGCGATACATATCGCGACGGCGGGCCACTGTCATCGGTATTTATCCTCATACTAAAGTTGGTGAACTTCAGTGAACAAAACTTCCCACCAGGACTTTGTCTTGTAGTTAGTCACTAGTAGCACCTGTCAAGTTCTCTCTCGCTTTCAGTGCGTACTTATGAAGAGGCCCAAGGAAGGACGAGATAGCCGTGCAAGTCAATTCCTAATCAGTCTTGAAATCAATTAAATTCCTGCAAATTTTTATGTTTAGAGTGGAACGTAGGGTTTAAAGCTTCTTGAAATTTTAGTAGCATAAGTGTTGTTTTTTATTTGCAGGATGGGGCTGCTAGCCTAACACCCTGAAACTTCTGTTTTCCAGGCTTACTACTAACTGGCAAACTAGTCGAGGTTTAGGAGGAGCGTTTCGGCGGGGAGTTGAACCCCAACTCCCTTGCGAACGTGTGTTTTTACCATATACAACCACTGACTCACGAAGTAGCTAAATCATATCTTGGTTACACATATTCATTGTGTATCTCAATATAACTGGGTCAGCGAAATTGTCACTATTTTGTCTCTAGAGAAAATTGGTAGTCAGGAAAAATGATTTTGTTAAGGTGTCTACGATGGTGTGTTGGTCTCTGTGTAACTGTGGCTACCATTTGGTTAAAAATTCTATAGATGATTTGTCTTAGAATGAACACATGGATTTACGAGTCGTTGGCGTTAGCATTTGGCTTAAGGCCAATTGGTCCTGGATTCGAATTGCACTCCTCTGTGTAACTAAGCAGTATCATCAACCTTCGCATAATAAATGTGACTCATAGCACCTGGCATACAGAAAATCTGTTCCGTATAACTAAGTTCTAACATATGTCGACCGACCAAGGAGTAGACGACAGCCGTTTCGTCCTTATTTGGAATTCCTCATCAGTATGCACCCATGAGGGATCGAACCCAACACCTCCAGGTGGTTATGAGGCAAGTCTGTTAACTATTCAGCCATAGGTCATTAGATTCAGTCTCAGTGGCAAAATTCTTGGACGTAAAACTCTTTTGTTTTCTTACGACATTCTTTAAACTTTATGCTATAATTCCATTAATAATATACTCTAACGATGTTGGATTTTTAAGAACAGCGAATTTTCCTCGGAACTGTCAACATACTTGGTAGTATACAAATGGAAGAAGCAGGTATAATGAATAGTGTGTCATAGAAACTTGACAGAAATCAATTAAAGTAGTAAAGTAGAAACAGCTTTAATTGTTAAATATAATTTTTAAATCAAAATCTCTTTTTTGTTTATATATTCCTCTTTATAGATGAATAGTCAAAAATTGTGGACTGAATGTTTGCAAGCAGTAGAGTCAGTGTATTCAATAGAATGTCCTGAGGAAATTGGATCCCAACTACTTTCACTGTTCCAAACGAATGATCCCGAGTAACTTATGTGTACATATACTATTTTTTTATTACTAAAAAAAAACAAAACAATAAAACTACTTTGAAGGCAGCAGCCCTTTTAACTCTAAAATTCTCCTATCCTCAGGGCTTCAATCCTTTGAAATTTTCAGTAGTGGGGATGTGTTGACCTTACGTGGGCTGGGGTTGCTAGCCTTACACCAAACTTTACCTCTTTTATTATTATTATTATTGTTTGCTTTAATTCCTAGAGGAACATAGGGCTTCAGCCACGCAAGTCTCCATTGCGTTCGGTTCTCTGGTAGAGTCTTCACCTGGCTCCAAGTCTCCCTCCCACACGTTTTCATCTCCTCTTCACATGACCTCCTCCAAGTCACCCTTGCACTGACGACCAACTCGCCGCTTACCTTTCGGGTTCCACTCGAGCAATGGCTTGTCTAGTGATGTCACTTGATGGTTCGCTTCCTCAGAGTATGGCCAAACAATCCATCTCCATTTCTTCCTGCCTATTTGTTTCACAATCGGTTCCTGCTGTGTTGGTTCGCTCCCAGTTACCTCTTTTACGGGCTAGTAAACTAGGCCGGCGATGTTTAGGAAGCCTGTCTCAGCCGAAAATTGAATCCAGACCTACCCTCAGAGTATCTGACAGACATTCTAGGAGTATTGAACCACTAACGTACAAAAATGGAAGAAATGAATGAATGAATGAGAGTTTCTTCGCGCAGCAGTGGGTATCCAAGACTCCAAAGATGAAGACAAAGGTGAGTGAGGAATAGAGAGGTTTCGCGTGCTCTTCGGGTTGTGAGGGCGATTGTTACTTACCGGCTGCCCACACCGTGGAAGTTGGTTGCGTGACCGCAGAGCCCAGGGGACAACTGCTTGAGGCCGGTCACACACGGCCTGTTTTTGTTTGTTCTTTTTTATTTGGTGTGTCTCAGTAGCGTATTTATCACTTCTGCCCTGTGACACGGCAGCAGAAAGCGCGGTCGTTGTTAATCCGGGCCCCGACCGATCCGGCATGATATTTTGTGATTTGTTTGAAGTCATAGGATTGGATTGGGTAACTGCTTTTAGTCTAACTGCTATCCAAACAACCTTTCTGGCATGGTAAGACCTGCAGGAACATAAGTTCCAGCCAGTATAGCTTGTTGGGTCATTGCGGTGTTCTAGCCCGACCACCACGTCAAGGTAGCTGCTTTCGGTCGGGAGAATCAATGGCTGGAGACAATAGGTGACATGGCTCAAAATCGTTGTCAATGGCGCAGATGTATTCAGTCTCTTTAACCTTCATACTCCTTTCTACCATTACTCATTCTGTTTCACTCTTATACTTGTCAAAACTCTATTGATTCTCTTCACTCATTTTCTTGTCTACCTTTGTGTGCTATTTGGAACGTGGCAACTGGAACTGCTGCACTTCGGTGCCAAGTTCTATGTTGAATCCAGACAGACATCCAAGACTCCACGAGGCGTTGTTGAACAACTAACTGATTGATCTCGAATCAATGGAATGGTATTACGGTTATAAATGCTATTGAGGAACTTTTAAAGGTTATGCAATACGTGGTTAATGAAGCCTTTATCTGATCACAATACACCTAGCTGTTATTCATGAATGGCGTATACTGATGGAACTACAACTATATATATGATCCTGTTGTTGTTTTTTCCTAACAGGGAGATCTCAATATTAATACTGATTATGTGATCTTAATACTTGCCAGAAATTATTTGTACATGTAACTCAAGTAAAAAATCATCAGTTCAATAACTCCATTATAGATAAGATTTTATTTTGATAAATCACACAGTGTTGTACAGTTATATTAACTGATGACCACGCTTCGAGCACAAATTATTACTGCTCATAATTATATCAAGTCATTCACACAACTTTTTAGTTGTACTACTTAGTGCTATTGCTCGTTATTGCTAAAAACCCAAACGATGAAATGAAACAGATAGAAGAGGCGTTGGTGTTAAATAACTAAGTATCCTATAAAATTCATCAGGAATATCAAAAAAGGTCAAAAGCAAAATAAAAATAATGTTGAAACTAATAATGATAACGTAAATAAGAGAGTTATACCATATATAAGGAGGCGACATCTGAGGCCCCACGTAGGATTCTCAATAAAGCAGGAATTAGGATGGTATTCAAACCTAAAAGCTCACTCAGGGACAAGCTCTGTAGACTAAAAGACCTGGTGGACCCAATTAAGCGAAATAATATAATTTACAAAATACCCTGCAATGACTGTGAGTTGTGGTCAACTACACAGGTCAAACTAGTAGATCAGGAGTAGTGAGATTATCAGAACATAAGAATTTAGCTAAGTTAAGAATGGTTGACCCCAAGAAAATAAGTAATTTAGAAAAAAAAGCTTAGCAATTGCACTGCATGCATTAACACAACCACACAATAGGGTGGGAGAGGGTTAAGATTCTAAGAAGAGAGATTGATTACTGAGTCCTGGTTCATCGAGTCTACACCCAACACATGCAACAGAAATGACTCAATGCAAATACCAAGAATATGGAAGATATTATTACCACCAGTCAGTCGAATCAGAGGAGGATAGTAAATAATCTTAAAATTTTATTTCAATTCACATACATTATAACATTCTAACAAGTTACTTATTTTTACTGCAAAAAACATCTTATTTCCCATCTGACTGTATTTGAGTGATAACACTCATATTATTATTTCTGAATGTACATTATCTTATACTGATTTTTATTCAAAGGTCTAGTCAATTTCACGCATATACACAAATGAAGTAAAAAGTTGTGTCAGTGACTTGATATGATTATGAACAATAGTTTATGCTCAAAACGTGGTCATCAGTTAATATTACTGCACAACACTGTGTGATTTATCAAAATAAAATCGTATCTATAATGGAGTTATGCTCTACCACAGTTCAATGTCTAACTGGGGAAAGAGGTCAGGTTTTTAAGTCTCTAATCTTGCGTTTCATTGGTTGGCCGCTGTCTATACATACAGAGCGTTTAACTTGAGATTATATTGTATTTCTGACCACTTTTTCATGTTTCAATGTGTCAAACAATGAAATGTTAATGTGTTGTATGCAAGTTGTCAGCAGTTACGTGAAGTTCACTGCAATAAAGCTTTTAGAACTACTAATCGCCATTGAAAACCTACGACGTGTCATTATGTGAAATGTAGAAGCGAATGATATCAGCATTTTTCTTCATTTCTTATATACCGAGAGAAATGCAGGGCTTCCAACTTTGACGCTGCTAGCCAACCCCCACCACCACAACTCTTCCTTTTCAGGTAAACTAGACGAGGTTTAGGAGTGCGTCCTCCAGGAATAGAACCCGTCTAGCAAGCATGATATAGCTAAAAGTGATCGAACCAAGACACATAGTGGTCATTCATGAAGATTACCATTCAGACTTCAGTAAGCAATCGATTAAATTCAAGAAGTTCGGTGAAACAGAGGGTGGATGGAAGTAGTGTTGGGCGTAGAGAGATCTTTCCAAAAGTAATGTGTGTGCAGTCGAGGCTAACGCAATCAGGTTGGTGTATCGAGTTCATATCTCATTTCTGTTTAGCAGAGCAATCTTACAAACAATTTACCTTCTATCATTTTATCAGATACCATGATGAGCTAATCTAAGGTGCTGCAGCAGTAAAAACTGTAAATATGTCTGTCTTGACTTGATATCTATCTGACTGACTGTGAGTTTCAACATAGAACTTTGTACCGAAATGTGTAGCAGTTCAAGTTGCCATATTCTATGAAGCATACAAAGGCAGAAAAATGATTCGGTAGAGCGATAATAAGCAGAATATTGAGGGAGGGAGAATAGCAACATGAAGAAACACTAGGGTTTAACAGATATGGGAAACCAAAAAGCGGGAATGCATCTGCGCCATTGAGAACGAATTTGAGTCATATTGTGGTGAGAGCTGGCTGCTAGCCAAATTGGTAGATGGTAATTTACGTCAATGTTTACGTCCTCAATATTTGTCGTGAGAAAAATATGAACAAAGACTGATTCAACAACCAATCACAGCAGACTTTGCGTAGGCGGATACAGTTAGCATATAGATGATCTGACATTCAAGAAACAGTCACAAAGAGATGAAAGATTAACTTTCAGTGAGAAACAAACAATCAGAAGATTGTGTTTTTCTGCTAACAATAATCTATAATAATGTGCATCAAAAGCTATAAATATGTGTTGATTTCCTTAATAAACGATCTGTTGCCTGGCCCTTGCCTTCTGTTGTTACAATATCAGCGATAGTCTTTTCACATCTCCCATTTTTAATGGTTAAGTCTTACAGCCATAAAGTAGGAGAGAGCGAACTCTTGCGCAGTACACATGTCCTTTGAACGATAGCTAGCCGGATATCACGTCTACGCCAGAGATAACGTAAGTTGGCAAATACCATGCGAGGTTTCATATCCGTACCGAGATCTCGTCATCAACTTCCTTAATAGGCGAAGTAGTCAACACGCACCATGACTTCACTCCCTATCTTTAAGCTATACGTTGGTGTATTCCAGTACTGTAGTATCATCTTACTTTTGTCAGGAGCGAATCGTATGCCAAACATTCGAAAATTTCTGCTCAAAGTGTTAAAATGACTCTGCATTTTATCAGCGCCTTCACCTAAGAGGACTATCATCCTCATATTCTAAGTCAACGAGATTATCCCGTGGTAACAAGTCAATCCCTGAGTCACTGAAGTCAGTTAAGGTTAAGTCCATTAGTATATTTATGATGAAATTAAACAGAAATGAGGACAGTGGGCATCCCTGACGGACACCACTGGTTGTCATCACTTCAGATGAAAACTCTCCGTAAGTTCTAACCTGGCTGCACGAGTTCGAGTTACTCGATCAATGCAATGTACTTTCTCGGCAATCCCTTCAAGCCAAACATTACCATAACACCTCTCGGTCGATGGAGTCGAATTCTCTGCCTTCAGATCAAGAAATACGGCAATTGTTGAACAATGGTAAATATACCTATGTGCCAGAATCTGTCGAAGGGTGAAGGTATGGTCGATACACCCTCTTCCTGGTCTAAAGCCTGCCTAATTTCCTCGTGTTTGCTTCTCTCGAGTACCACTTAGTCTACACATGGTTACTGCGACTAGAACTTTGGAATACCGTATTAGTCAAGCTAATCCCCTGATGATTATCGTAGGAAGACTTGTCTCTCTTCTCGAATACTTGGATAATCAATGACCCGATATTGCTACTACTGTGGTGAGAGCTGGCTGCTAGCCAAAGTTGGTGTTCAAGATCTGTCAGCGATGAGGCTGCTACTTGGGACGCTGCTGGGAGGTCGGGAGAAAGCAGCATATGAAAGTGTGAGGCGAAATACCTACGAATGTGCGACAGGGTCAGGCAAACAGTTTCCAAAGTGGGAAGGACCACATATGATCACGTTGAGATGAGGTTACGCAGATACAATGGCAATGGTAAACACAGAGAAACAGGTGAACATCCGCAAGCGCCGAGATTCCAGACAGAAAGACAAAAGAGCGAAGCCCCAAGAACCAAGAAGACCGAACCAACTTCAGTCGCAAGTCTTTGACGAGGGGACGAGTGTGGTGAGAGCTGGCTGCTAGCCAAAGTTGGTAGACAGTAATTGACGTCAATGTTTATGTTCCCAATATTGGTGTGAAAATGAGAACAAAGGCTTTGCGTAGGCGGATACAGTTAGCATATGGATGATCTGACACAGCCACAAAGAGATGCAAAGTTAATTTTCTGTGAGAAACAATCAATCGAAAACTGTATTTTCTACTAACAATAATCTACGATAATGTACATTAAAATCTATAAATATGTGTTGATTTTCCTTAATAAACGATCTGTTGCCTGGCCCTTGTCTTCTGTTGTTACACTACTATTACTGACCAGTTTGAATTTCCATTTCAAGCGATAAAGGAAGTTGATAACTGTGACTCAATCACTGACAGTTTCACACGTATGAAAGTCAAAAGATTTCGTCACCGATACGCTTGAGCATGCATATTACTTTGCTAAAATGATAACTGTATTATTGAGACCACTTCAACATATTGGATTAAAAGTTAAATTGTTGACGAATACTGCTGTGTTCACAACTTTCATTTATGTTTCTTGAAGGTGGGAAGATATCAATCAATCTTCCGATTAAACTTATATTAAAGATAGCCCTTAGTGACAGATATTTGGTGGGTAGTCTGTATTACAAACGAAAATTGACTGAAGAAACCATAGAAGACCAATATAGCTTCAATCAAGTCAGGTTTTCGGATGTGTACTCAAAATTAACTTTTTTGGTGGTAACTTGTAGAAGAATCCAGTACGCACGGTTCCTCATATCCTGGATCTCATCAGGTGCTCCTCTCTGGTAATTGTTAGTGTTCCCACTGCCAGTAAAAACCAGTGTTCGTCCCTTCAATCGCCAAAGCATGATCTACCTATTCAGCAAGGGTTATTTTTTAGGACTTCCCGTTGTGCGTCGGTGGCATAGTGGTTAGGACGCTCGCCGACCATGCACATGGTCCAGGGTTCGATCCCCGGCCGACGCACTCCTTTACCTCGCTAAGCCAGAAATAATGCTGGTGAAGTGGAAAGGTTGGGCATGAGGCTAGCAACCCCATCCTTGTAAAATAAACACTGCTACAGAAACTTCAAGCCACTAGCTTGAAGCCCTATGTTCCACTGGGAACGTGAGGGAATAAAAAAATTTCATCTTATGCTGTCTTCGATCATAGGTGTCTGCGTTCTATCTCCCGTATGAAGTGGTATAATAAGGTGAGCGATATTGAGGTTAGGCGTTGAGTGCTACGTAAGGAGGGGAAATCAATCGATGAGGCTGTGAAGCTACATCAACTCAGATGGTTAGGACATGTGTTACGCATACCTAGCCATTGCCTTCCGCAACGGGCAATCTTAGCTGATATAGGGTCAGGCTGGAAAAGAGCTAGCGGCGGTCAAACCAAAACATGGCACCAGTCAATGAAATCCACAACAGTTAGTTTAAGCCACGTAGAAAGATGTAGACTTCCTGACTGTTTGGGGTCCCCGGGAAGGTGAAAACCAATGGTTGGAAACAATTGGTGACATGGCTCAAAATCGTTCTCAGTGATGGCTGTCGCAGATGCATCCACTCCTTGTGACTTATGATTTCCAATTAAACTGTTTTGTTCTCCGTTATTACTATTCCTTTGTCTCACACCTCTGTTTACTGTCTATATTATGCATTTCTCCTACTTTCTTTTCTTCCTTTGTGTGCTACGTGGAGTGTGGCGACTTGAACTGCCGCACATATGTGCAAAGTTCTATGTCGAAAACCGACCGACCGACATCTAGACGGAATTGATCCGCTCCACTTTTCGCAACTATTTGAGGCGATAACCATTGGAATAATGTCGTCCACCAGTCACACACTATAGGGAGTTGGTACATCCAACATGTCCCAAATAGGACGATGCACGCATCGTGTTTTCCACTACCACCAATCACCAAAAATAAGAAACATCTAGACCTCAGTCCAAGGAGTTCATACATCAAAAACAAGACTCAACAATTCAGTCCAGATGAAGAACAGAAAATCAACAATTTCACGGTGTTATTACATATTGCAGACTGGCAGTGAAAACCTGTAGACTCTTAGATTCCCTTCCATAGATGATTAGTGCTGATGTCGCCACCTCCTCCCCCCTAACGACACTCTTCTTTTCAATCTCTCATAAGGTGATGTGTTTCATGGAAGCATCTATTCAACTGATACAAGATTTAACTTGTCATCTGTGGTCAATAGTTCAATCGTCTCTAAGCGGTTCTTTTTATTCATTCTTTTGCGTTTCGAGTGGAACACAAGACTTCAAACTTCAGCTTTGAAGTTTCAGCAGCAGTGATATCTCTTCTTACGGGATGAGATTGCTGTCATTATGCCCAAGCTTTACTCTTGACCCCGCTTATTATCAGCTAAGTGAGGTTTAAAAGTGCGTCTGCAAGGAACCGAATCTGGATCATGTGTGAGTGTGTGACTGGGGCTGGTATTCTACCTCTAAAACCACCGAAGAAGCACAAAGCTTCTAAACAGTTAAATGAACAGTAATTATTCTTTCTCCTTATAAAAATGGTGCATTTATTCATACAAAAATCAAACAAATAATACATAAAATCTGTCTATCCTTTTTTTTCTTTCTCTCTTCAACTTTGAATATAATGATCACATCAATCATTGAAAGATGAAAATTTATTTCCCTGAAGCAGTAGTTCTTGATTTACGTTTCTTTTCCAAGTCAACAATATGTAGCCAATGCTCTAGAGTTGGAGATTGATGTCCATATGTTAAACAATAAAACCTGAATTAAAAGAAGAAAACAAGAAAGATGATTATTAATATTATTGTTCCCTTGGGTTCTGAGTGGAATATAGTGCTTCAACAGCACCTTTCCACTGTATTCTATTTTCTGACGTCCTCTTTAGCTAGGCCTACAATTGTCCATAATCTCACATCTCCGCCTTACACGATTTCCTCCATGTCACCCTAGGACTCACGCTCAACTCGTTGTTTCCCAGTAGGGTTCCACTCGAGTCTGTCTGGATTCAACATAGAACTTGGCACCGAAGTGCAGCAGTCCGAGTTGCCACGTTCCAAATAGCACACAAAGGTAGACAAGAAGATGAGTGAAGACAATCAATAGAGTCTTCACAAGGATAAGAGTGAAACAGAATGAAAGAATGGTAGAAAGGAATATGAAAGATTACAGAGACTGAATACATCTGCGCTAGCCATTGACAACGATTTTGAGCCATGTCACCTATTGTCTCCAGCCATTGATTCTTAGAGTCCCAAGGGCGGGCCCCAACCCGGAAGTCTGCATCTCCCTACCTGACTCAGTTTAACTAACTGTCAAGGATTTCATGGATTGATGAGGCCATGTTTTTGTTTGGCCACCACTTACTCTTTTCCAACCCACAACACCTATATCAGCTAGTAATGCCCGTCCGTCGGGGGAGGCGATGGTCAGGCATGCGCAGCACGTGAACTAGCCATCTCAATCTATGTAACTTTATAGTCTCTTCGATTGATTTTCCCTCTTTGCCCAACACTCTACGTCTAACGTCAACATTACTTACCTTATTATACCACTTAAAGTGAGAAAGAGATCGTAGACATCTACGATCAAAAACAGTCAACCTTCTCATGTTTTCAACTAGTTTTGGCCACGTTTCAGAGCCATAGAGAAGGACGGGGCGAACTGCTGAGCAGTACACACGTCCATTGGTTGACAGCGGGATGTCACGCCTACGCCAGAGATGGTGTAAGTTAGCGAAAGCAGCTCGAGCTTTTGGGATCCGTGCTGAGATTTCGAGTGATGGCCCACGGCACGATGTCATTCAACGGTCTCTCCAACGTATGCCTGATCCATCTCCATTTTCTTCGGAATATTTGTTAAACAACAGGTTCTTGGCTGGTTCATCCTCAGAGTTTCTTGTTGCTAGTTCTTTCACGCCGTCCACTGATCTCCAATATGGAGTGAAGGTAGCTATTGATAAAAAGTTTGCAATCTGTTAAAGATGCCTTCCATGAGGCACAGTGCCTATTAATAACCCATATAGGAGGACCGACTTCAAATTTGTGTTGAAAATACGGATCTTCTTCTTTATGCTACAGAATGCAGATTTCCAAACTGACTTTAGGTTGATGAAGGCGTATCTTGCCTTTCCGATTCTGGCTGCCTTTGACATCTTCATTCGTTTCTCCTGTGGTTCAAACGATGCTTCCTAGATAAGTGGAGGGATTTCTCCGTTGATGGTGACTGATGCTGGTTGTTCTTGTTGCTGTTGGTTGGTAATCTTCATCACCTCCGTCTTCTCTATATGTTCATCTAAAGTCCTGTCTTCGTTGCATCTTCAGCCAGTTTGTTGCTTTTCTCCTGTAGGTCTTCGAATTTGTGTGATATTACATATATATCATCTACGAAATTCATATCTTCTAGAGTCTTCTTATCGGTAGTCCAGCGTACTCCTGTCTCCTCACTTCCACAGTTAGTTATATCATCGGTGATAATAGGCAGCCTTGTCTTTCTTCTGGATTCACTTCAAAATGAGGCTTCGCTGACTATTCTGTTTTGGACCACCTCGTACGTGGCATTGTCATGCAGCTGTTGAATGAGGCTGATAAAGAATTGAGGCACGCCGTAGTGTTGAAGTAGTTGCAAAATACTTTTCGGTCAACGGCTGCCTGTCGAAGGCCTTTTCAAAGTCGATGAAGTTGAGGTAGACGTTTGACTGCCATTCTATACTTTGTTCTGTAATGACGATGTGTAAATTTGCAATTTGATCAGCACATGATTTGTCTTTCCCGAATCCAGCTTGTTCTGGCAGGTGGAGTTCTGCATCCAGTGCATCTTTTATTCTCTCCAGGGTGACACTACTTAGTGGGTAGATGATGGAACATTATTATTAATAATAATAAGAGTAAATAGTACAGCGTTGAGCATTGCACTTCTGATCGATATGAGGGTGATGCTGATGCTCACTGATGATTGGTTAAACTATGAGTCTGTCTAGGGTCCTAGTGAGACGTTGTGATCAATGGGTATTAGCAGAAATATTCACCAATGACATTCGTTGGCAGGAGCGGTATAAATCACGAATTGATAGAGGTTAGTATTCATGGGCCATATTGGATCAGCTCCCAATGGTTGAATTGTCAACACGAGCCCGGTGGGGCGACCATGAGCACGTACTGCTGAAGAGCCTGAAACTAGGACTAACCGGCCATCCAGTTGTCATTGGTTCTCTGACTAATATTAATCCATGTTCAAAAGCTTGAAACCAATTAAATTCCTACAAACTAACATTTGGAGATTTTACATTTTAATGTTTGGTTTCTCTTCCCTATTCCTCGTCTTTTTGATTGATGACGGCTATACTGATTTCAGATCTGGATAAGGCCTATTACATCCCATACTACAACATACATTTCTGGATCTTACACTTTGAACAAAGAATATCGAATCAAGTTCAGTGATATACATAAAAAAGGTGATGATATGTGTGATGAAATTAAAACAGACCAAAATAGGAATAAATTAAATAAAATTCAATTGGTTGGAGGATTTCATCATGAGCTGACATCAGTTAGAGAACCATTGAAAAACCTGGGAGTACTGGACAGCTTTTTCATCCTAGTTTGGAACTGACTTCCGGAAGTACGCACTCATTGCCAGGGTTCGAACCCAGGATCTCCTTGTTACAAAGTGAGCTCGAAGACCATTAAGCCACTGGGACCCGACCCAATGGCCAGTCCATGAATTCTAACTTCTGCCGATTTACGGCATAGCTCAACCACTTCGCAATGTGTTCTTCGATAAGTTACTGACTCACCTCCAACCTGCTGTACCCTACTGGTCACGGCTTCCCACTGGAAGCCCAGGTTAACTGCCTGAATAGGGCCAGTCGCTAGTGAGCATCAGATGGGAAAAAAACCAATACTTGAAAATAAAAGTCAACTATATTGATTAGCATACCTGAGTAAGCATAGCATAACAGCGAATTCATCCGATTCAATGAATGTTGATTTATCTCTTCGCCATTGAACAAAATCTTGATTAATACGCTGAAAAATTTAACCAAAAAATAAAAAAACGCTAATTACACACAGACAAGTCAATATAATTACAAATTATTTTAAGACAACTGTCTGGGGTGTATACTAAATTCGTATGGTAAACACAGTCAAGATAGTAAACAAACAGATACTAGCAATACACGACATGGCCTAGTCGAGTAGTCATCCATGCTGCTACAAGTTGTACACAAAGAAGAATAAAATATTTTTTTAAAAAAAACAGGGGTACCAATGAAATGGGGTTATTAACTGACTGATTTCAACACAGAACTTTGCACAGATGTACAGCAGTTCGAGTCGCCACTCTCCCTCCATGTAGCACACAAAGCAAGAGAAGAAAGTAAAGAGATATTCAAAAGAGAAATGATAAACAGATGTGTGAAGGAAAAACAATAGTAGTATGGAAGAACAATAGAGTTTCATTGGATATGACAAATCACAAGGAGTGAATGCATCTGCGACAATCATTGAGAACGATTTTGAGCCATATCCCCAATTGTCTCCAGCCTCCATTGGTTTTTACCATCCCAAGGACCCCGCGACCAGACAGCAGTCTACACCTCCCTATGTGACTGGCTTCGATTAACTGTTATGGATTTCATTGATTAATGAGGTCATGTTTTGGTCTGACCACCTCTAGCTCTTTTCCAACCTGATTATATATCAGTTAACATTGATATAAGTATAAAACTTGGGCACTATGATAGAGTTTAACTCCATTATATATAAGATTTTATTTTGATAAATCACACAGTGTTATACAGTAATATTAACTGATGACCACGTTTCGAGGACAAACTATTGCTCATAACATTGTCCGTCGAGGATGACGAGGCATACGTAACACGTGACCTAACCATCTCAGTCGATGTAGCTTCCCGACTTCATTGATTGATTTTTCCCTACTTAACTAATCTCGATATTACTCACTATGTTATATCACCTGAGTGTGAAGACAGATCTTAACCTCCAGTGGTATCTAGCACCACAAGCACCAATCACGATCAAAAGAAGAAATCTAAAGGTAGTCACCTCTTCCACCTACCTAGGTAGAGCATCCTTTCAACTACAGGCAATACACATATGAGCATATCAAAGCTAGTCAAGATCGGAAAAGCAAGAGAGACGATTATTACTCTGAAATTAATTTGAAAATCTACTGGACTCAGAATAAAAAACAACACCATTAATGTCAACTTCAGAGATTAATCAGCGCGCGTCACCAAAAGCACCTCCAATAGGCCACTGCAGAATTTCACTAACATCTGCCTCCAATTCCTATTGAAGATCAGATGATGGATAGAAAAGTCTGGTCACGAAACAATCAAGGACGGACCTTTCGCCTAATAAATATATAAAAGCAAGTGGTAGATGGACTGTTGTCTGTCTGTTTTCGACATAGAACTTTGCACTGATGTGCGGCAGATGGACTGGGCATACGCCGAGAAGATCACTGAGTGAGATCATACACCAGACATACCCTGAAATAGGATCCAAATAAGAAACGACAAGTGTGACGTGGACGAGGAAATAAAAGCTTATGGGGATTCGTGGAACCAACTAAAAAAAATACCACAGAGAACAGAATGAAATGGAGGTGTACTGCTGAAACACTATTTTCCACTCGGCATCCAAGGGAATAATAGAGTTCAATAATCTTCAAAAACAGTTACATCTAAGTGTTAGGTGTAAAATAACACGTCCGTTTTAGACAACAGAAATAAAAAAATACAATATGATCTTGAATGTTAGTGACGAAGAGAACACGACAGATTTAAGCAATCCTGTTATCTCAATCCAAATGTTAAAAACAGGTGACTAAACTGAACCATCAAACTTGCTTCAACAGTACACATACTAAAATTGGAACGATACAAAGATTAGCAGGGTTCATATGCGCAAGGATAACACCCAAAATTATGAAACGTTCCCTGCTTTTAGTGCGTTGATGGTCCCCTTGGCAGAATTATCGCCAGCCACAGTCAGTGGGAGAGGGTCAGGTTTCCACGACCCAATGACACACTCCTAAACCTCGCTTCATTTACCAGCTGATAGCAGGGTCGAGGGAAGGTTAGGCGTGAGGCTAGTTACCCTACTCCATAGAATAAAATAACACCACTACTACTACTGAGATTTTAAGGCTTGAGAGTTCTATATCTCACACTCGAATACAATACAGAAATTGTTAGTCATGTAAACATACCTCTTGTAGTTCTGCATCCATTGAATAAGTTATATTACTGTAAGCTAATATTGTCAAGTATTTTCGCATATCATTCCATTCACTTTCAGAGATGCTATTTTCCAATAAACACATGTTATCATCAGCATTCAATGTTTGTGGTTGCCATGGTAACGATAAAACAGACTAACGTAGAAAGAACAGAATGAAGGAAAACATAAACACAGGGTATTTTAGGTTAACTGAAGCAACATATTGCGCAATATATCCCTTTATTTTCCTATTTGCAACTAGAGAATGTAGCCACTCTCAACATGTTCACTAGTTGTAAAAAGTTTTATTACGTTGTCAGGATGAGTCACCCCCACCCTCCTAGATTCTCTAGAGACACGTGACTTATCCATGAGTAAGACTATAAAAGCCATTTTAACAACTACATAACATTTTCTGGGATCGGGAGGACCACATTGAGTGAATACATCTGAGGCATATCACTAACAATCTCCAACTATAATGATTCTTGGCTTCTCGAGGACTTCACAGTCAGGTAGTCAACACCTTCCTACAACCAACAGACAGGGACTTCATGGACTGATGTTATGCTGAAGTTTGACCAACCCTAACTCTTCTCCAACATAATCAGCTAACATTGTTCGACATGAAAGACAATAGCTCAACAGTCGTATAACACGTGTCCTAGTCATTCTAATCGATGCACCTTAAAAGTCTCATCGACTGGATTTTCCTGCTTACCTAGCTACTCTACACTTAATCTCAACATTACTCATCGAATTATACCACTGAACTCAACAGACGGAATGCGAACACCTGTAGTTGAAGACAGCTAGCCTCTATACACATCTGCCACTTTCACCTGTTATGTCTCACAAATGTAAGGCAAGGGGGGGGGGGACGGGGCAAATTGATGCTCATGACACTAATCTATTAAGTCACTGACTGATCGTATCAAGAAGGTAAAAATAAATCGTCAGAGTTGATTAATGATATGAGTGAAGATGGTTTACAATGATATTGCTTAGTATATTTCATCTAACCTAACATTGAACATCATGTATACACAAAACTAGGTCTATTGTTAGCTGAAATCTGTTCCTGATGAAAAAAAATTACTCGAGAATCCCACAAGTTGTGGTGTTATAATCTCTTCAAGAAGTTGAATAACGAAATAAAATACCAGGGATATACATACACAAGTCAGGTAAGAGGACAGTTATCTCTGTCGATGACACCAACTGGAGGTTGCGCTATGTTATACCGCGAATTGGCAGAAGTTGGAATATATGAACCACTGGATCAGGTCCCGGTGTCTGAATGCTCTGTCAGCTAACCTTGTAACCGGAAGGTCATCGGTTCAAAACCCAGTGGGCGCGACTGCTGAAGAGTCCCAAATTAGGATTAAATACAACTGTCCAGTACTTCCTGGCCTTGCAACGGTTCTCTAACTAATGTCAGCTAGGGATCAAGATATGTACACAAGGTGGAAATATAGTTCATTAGCTTAGGCATTCGACTTACAGCCCGATGGGTCTTGGATTTGAACCCTGATTCAACCTACTACAGTCTAAGCGAATAAGCAGTGTCATCAGTGCCTATGCAATATAGGTGTGGCTCTTAGCCTGATACATGAAAGATCCTTTCGGACATAAAGAAAAATACGTAGTATACAGGACTAACTGACTGATTACAGCTTACTTCTATCAGCACTGATGTAGCAAAGCAGCAATATATTAAAGAAAAACACTTATGGATTATGGATTCTTAGAGTTCTGAGCAGAACGTAGGGCTTCAGTAACACGAAGAACTTACCTTAATCAATGATGGAACAACTGACAGGATAAGTACGCGTACATCAGTATCCCATTCTTGTTTATAAAATTGAAAATCATATGATAAACGTTGATGAATTGCTACAGAACTTAATGCCTGAAAATTTAATAATCCTTTTGGTTGTAATTGACCAGAATCCATTTCTATTTCATTGACAAGTATCTGTTAAGGAGAAAGAGAGAGAAAGAAAGAAAGAAGCGAATAGAAGAATATAACTTGAGAAATGATGTTTGTATGACTGCATTCACTGTTAACAATACAATTATTGTTTTTGATTGGACACTAGTGTCACTTATGTCATATGCATCTAGTCCTTCGTTTAGTGAAGGCTGGACTTTTATCAGTCAAGTTTTCAATACGGCCAATATGGTGCACTCTGAATTGTTATTAGATAGACGGAGGTAATTGACAAACCTTGAACCTACATTTCATGCTTGCTGGTACTCGTTAGTAAGCCTGAATAACTCAGTGGTAACGTACGTCTCTAACTTCAGCGCTGGGTAACCTGGGGGCATGAATTCCTTCAAGATTGCAGGTACACGCCTTGCTGACTGATGAGTGCCAACAAGCACGAGACCTATGCCCAAGGCTTCCCACTGATTGCCTCTAGCCAGCTAACAACACACTTATTTCATGTTTGAAACTACCTAACATACACACTTAATTGTTTGAACTGGATGTAGTTTATTTTGTGTGACTAAAAGTTTTGAAAAGAAAGCAGTGCAGAATTTTTCATCAGGTTTTGAATTTTGGCCACCTGAGTTGCACATAAATCTAAGCTTTCAGAATGATACCTGGTAGGGGTAGGGCCAACGGTGGGTAGACTTCAGTCTTCCCCTCAAAATCCTCTCATGTGTTCATAGCTTCTGTCGCACAAGTCCTAATCATTGAATTCCCATAACCGGGGCTCTCTTCACATAAGTGAAAGGGAGAATCAGAACGTCAGGGTGTTTATTACAACGGGAGCGGTGGACATGCAGATCTACCTAGGGAAGGTGGAATAAAGACTACTGAAATCAAAATAAACAGAGAGCAAAAAATGCATATTTGCCAATACAGTCAACTTGACATGGACCTTGGTCAGGCAGTCTACACTTTCTCATACAGCTGTGCAGACTTGATCAGCGCTAACTACTAATTTAAAGAATGAATAGTGAGATGCATAATCATGTTGACCACCTCCCTTTATATGGAAGCAGCATCAGCCTCAATCGACTGATTGCTGATGAATTACCAAGTATGGGTTTGTAGGGATTTTTGTTTGATTGGTTGGAGGATTTCATCATGAACTGACATCAGTTAGAGAACCATTGAAAAACCTGGGAGTACTGGACATCTGTTTCGTCCTAGTTAGTCTACGAGCTCACCTTGTAACCATGAGGTCCTGTGTTCGAACCCCGGTGGGTGCGTACTGATGAAGAGTCCCAAACTAGGACGAAACAGCTGTCCAGTACTCCCAGGTTTCCCAATGGTTCTCTAACCGACTGATGATGAAATCAAAATGTGTCGATACAATATGCTCGAATGGCATTTATTGACCTGTCAACTCTTGGTGCAGATTTCATAATCTCATTAACTATAAAATAGGTACTCGTATTGTACTGAATTTCTTTTCATCATAATTTACAGATGTAAGATATGGTTTCTGAGAGTAGGAGATATTAAAGGACTAGAGATTTTTGATCATAGACCCCTTCGTTAAATTAGCTCATCGGTGGGGGTTCCGAGTTGCGCTTCACATTCACCAACTGGTTACTACCACTAGTCCTCATAAGATGAGTGTGACTCTTAGCCTAATATAAGAAAAATCTGTTCTGGGCAGTTGAACCTAAACAAACTCATATTAGATGGAGCAACATGACAATAAGTGGTAGGATAAGGTGTAGTTTTAGATAAGGAACGTAGATCGACCGATAAGGTTACCTAAGCTGCAGACATTTAGGTGACTGTAACATGTATTACGCACCCTCAGCCACCACTTTTTTCTATGAGCAAAGTCATTTGCAGTAGAATTAAGTTGAAAGAGTCTTAAGTTTCGTTGAACGTCAACATGGCATCAATCAATGAACTACCCAACAGTTCTTCTATAAGACAGAAGTCGAATTAAGAAACGAACTACTTTAACTGTTACAATATCTACCATATCTTATACAATCATTTGGTACCTAATTTGAGATCACAAAGATCATACTGAATAGAATTAAGTACGTTTTTAGTACTACAGAGAATGAATCAACTAGAGATTCGTCGTTATATAAATAAGACAAGTTTACAACAACAAAAAAGTTGCAATACTTCATGCACAAAATGACAATAGTACAGAATAGTATTCAACGTGTGCGTCGATGGTGGTTCTCAGAGGTAGAATGTTTGTCAGCCACACATGCCAACCAGGTTCGATTCCCGACCCGATCAACGCACTCCTAAACCTCGTTTAGTTGTTAGTAAGCCCGGGAAAAAAGAGGAAGGTTGCAGGGTGTGTGTGTGTGCATAATAAGGCTAACAACCCTACCACATACAAAAACAAAATCACAGCTACTAAAACTCCAAAAGTTCAAGCTTGACACCCCCTTTATGTTACACTAGTGAACTCAAAGGAATGAAATGAAGAAAATGAAAAATATGATTCACTATAAAAATTGTCTAATGACACTAATATCAAATGAAAGCACATATTCATGTTATTGTAGTTTTCTTGACACAAGCCACAGATGTGGTAAGAGCTGGCTGCTAACCAAAGTTGGTAGACAGTAATTGACGTCAATGTTTATGTCCCCAATACTGGTGGTGAGAAAATGGAAAGCCTATGCCCTGCAGTTTTTGATGGAGACATATGGATCTTCGGGTAGGACTTCGAGGCTTCTTCGCAATTGAGTGGCGTTCAAGATCTGTCACCGATGAGACTGCTACTTGGGACGCTGCTGGGAGGTCGGGAGAAAGCAGCATATGAAAGTGTGAGGCAAAATGCCTACGAATGTGCGACAGGGTCAGGCAAACAGTTTCCAAAGTGGGAAGGACCACATATAGTCACGTTGAGATGGGGTTACGCAGACACAATCGCAATGGTATACACAGAGAAACAGGTGAACATCCGCAAGCGCCGAGATTCCAGACAGAAAGGCAAAAGAGCAAAGCCCCAAGAACCGAGAAGACCGAAACAACTTCAGTCGCAAGTCTTTGACGGGGGGACGAGTGTGGTGAGAGCTGGCTGCTAGCCAAAGTTGGTAGACAGTAATTGACGTCAATGTTTATGTCTCCAATATTGGTGGTGAGAAAATGAGAACAAAGGCTTTGCGTAGGCGGATACATTTAGCACATGGATGATCTGACACAGCCACAAAGAGATGCAAGGTTAACTTTCTGTGATAAACAACCAATCAAAAGACTGTATTTTCTACTAACAATAATCTACAATAATGTACATTAAAATCTATAAATATGTGTTGATTTTCCTTAATAAATGATCTGTTGCCTGACTCTTGCCTTCTGTCGTTACACAGACACATGTAAAATTTTATGCTGACAACTTACTTCTGTCCCTTTAGGTAATTGTAAACGTCCAGGATTTAAATGTCCTTTAGCCATATCACGAATTGGAATTAGGCAAGGACCATCATTCAACGATTTCACTGTCAATTCTATAGTAGCCAGATGTGTAACTAATTGTGGTAAAAATCTATGCAAATGACTATATAACTTGAGTAAGGATTGTTTCTGTATGTCATAGGAGGAGTCATCAGTACTATTTGGTTTTGATGCAATTCTATTTCCACAGTGAATATTTATAGCTGGTAGATGACAAGGATACGGTGAATCAGTAGAAAGTCTAAAAATATTAAGGAAACACAAAAGGATTTGTGAAAAGAATAAATAAAAAGATGAGAAATCATATGTGTATATAATGCATTTATAGGAAACAGAAAATTAATGGAGTCAAACTCGATGATATACCTCTCTTTGATTGGACATTAGTTAGTAACTAGTGTAATGCGCTCACCCTGAAGAAGCCTGGAAGAATATTCAGTCAGCCATAGATACAGCTGTAAAAGCTGTGAATAAGGTAAATCCAAAGGTGAGAAAAAACCATTGGATTTCGACTGCCTCATCCGAACTGATAGATGCTAGAAGACTTATTCCGGCGAGCTCCGAATTCAATGAGGAGCGAAAGCTGCACAAAAGGAAACTTACGAAAAGTCTCCGCAAGGACCGTGAACAGTGGTGGTTGACAAAGGCGAAAGAGATGGAAAAAGCATCGGCGATAGGCAACACTAGGCAACTCTTTAGACTCATCAGGGAAACGGGTGGGAGAAGGCAAATCATAAGTGAGACTATTTGTGAGAAAAATGGCTCCTTAATTAGCTCTCAGGATAGACGCCTCGAACGCTGGAAAGAACACTTTGAGGAACAATTTAACTTGCCTACAGCCACATTGAGCCTCCCCGCCATCCAGCACACACCCGAATGGGACATAGACACTGGCCCGCCGTCTGTAAGTGAGGTCACCACAGCTATCTGTAATTTGAAACGAGGCAAAGCGGCAGGACCCGACGGAATTATTCCGGAGGTGTTTAAATATGGGGGTGACATACTAGTATGTAGATTAACTAAGGTACTAGGTAACGTCTGGGAATCAGAGACGGTTCCATCAGACTGGGGTAAGTCACTTATCATACCAAAATTCAAGAAGGGAGACAAGTCCTCATGTGATAATCATAGAGGAATCAGTCCAACGAACATAGTCTCTAAAATCCTAGGCTCAGTAATCATGAACAGACTCAGCAGAACTCGGGAGGAACAAACGAGGGAAAATCAAGCGGGCTTTAGTCCAGGTAGAGGGTGCATAGATCATATCTTCACTCTCCGACAGATCCTAGAACATAGACACACTTTTAGGCGTCCAACAATTGCCATATTTCTTGACTTGAAGGCGGCCTTCGACTCCGTGGATCAAGAGGTACTATGGCAATATTTGACTATGAAGGGAGTGCCAAGAAAGCACATTGCACTAATTAAGGCACTCTACTCAAACTCACGTAGCTGTGTAAGGGCTTATGGGGAATTGTCATCTGAATTGATAACAACCAGTGGTGTCCGTCAAGGATGTCCACTTTCCCCTTTTCGGTTTAACTTCATCATAGATATGCTAATGGAAGTATCCTTAACTAAACTTAACGACTTAGGAATCGACTTGTTACCAGGGAATAGTCTTATAGACTTAGAATACGCAGACGACATAGTCCTGTTAGGGGAGGACGCTGACAAAATGCAGAGTCTTCTGAACACCTTGAGCACCAATCTTCGTATGTTTGGCATGCGATTCGCCCCTGTGAAATGTAAGATGCTGCTACAGGACTGGACTACGTCAACTCCTAGCTTAGTGATAGGGAGTGAAGTGATAGAACATGTTGACCACTTCACCTATTTGGGAAGTTGTATCAGCACCAACGGATTGATTGGTGACGAAATCACAGCACGGATCCAGAAAGCTAGGGCTGCTTTCGCTAACTTACACCGTCTCTGGCGTAGGCGTGACATCCGGCTATCAACCAAGGGACGTGTATACTGCTCATCAGTTCGCTCCGTCCTCCTCTATGGCGGTGAGACGTGGCCATTGAGAGCGGAAGACATGAAGAGATTGTCTGTTTTTGACCACAGATGTTTACGATCTCTTTCTCGCGTTAGGTGGTATAATAAGGTAATTAATGTTGACGTTAGGCGTAGAGTGTTGGGCAAAGAGGGAAAATCAATCGAAGAGGCTATAAAGTTACATAGATTGAGATGGTTAGGTCACGTGCTGCGCATGCCTAACCATCGTCTCCCCCGACGGACGGACATTACTAGCTGATATGGGTGCAGGTTGGAAAAGAGTAAGTGGTGGCCAAACAAAAACATGGCCTCATCAATCCATGAAATCCTTGACAGTTAAACTGAGTCAGGTAGGGAGATGCAGACTTCCGGGTTGGGGCCCTCGGGACTCTAAGAATCAGTGGCTGGAGACAATAGGTGATATGGCTCAAAATCGTTGTCAATGGCTCGCAGATGTATTCAGTCTCTTTAACCTTCATACTCCTTTCTACCATTACTCATTCTGTTTCACTCTTATACTTATCTCAATTCTATTGATTCTCTTCTCTCATTTTCCTGTCTACCTTTGTGTGCTATTTGGAACGTGGCAACTGGAACTGCTGCACTTCGGTGCCAAGTTCTATGTTGAATCCAGCAGCAGCAGCAGTAATGCGTCCAATCCATCGTTTGACGAGGACTGAATTCTATCAGTCAGGTTCCGAATGTAGCCACTATGCTAGGTCTAATTGGGTCAACAGGGTCCTTTAACCTACAGAGCTTGTCCTGCCTGAGTGAGTTTGTAGGTTTGAATGCCACCCTAATTCCTGCTTTATTAAGAATCCCACTACGTAGGGTCTCACACGTCCCCTCCCTGCTTATATGGTATAACAGTGAATGACTTATATGCTCTCTTATTTATGTTATCATTACTAGTTCCAAAATTATTTTTATTTTGTTTTTGGCCTTTACTGACCTTCTTAATGAATTTTATAGGATATTTATTTAGCACCAACGCTTCTTCTATCTGTTTTATTTCGTCATTCAGGTCCTTTTTTGTGCTACTTAGTGCTATGGCTCGGTTTGTCAGACACTTCACTAAGCCTGCCTTAACAGTTAATGGATGAGACGAATTAAAGTCTAAATATTTATTAGATTGCGTTGGTTTTTTTGTAAACACTAATGTGTAGTTTGCCTTCTTCTATTCGTTTTATTTTACAATCTAACATCATGGCTAATTCTCCTTGTTCATTTTCCAATTCAAATGTGAATTTTATTCCCTCTACTAGTGAGTTTATATGTGTCAAGAAGCTAGAGATATGTTCTGTTTTTAACACTGTGTCATCCACATATCTCCACTATATTTTTGGAGTAGGATTAAACGTATTAAGAGCCATTTTTTCCCAGCTGTCCATAAATATGTCTGCTACGATAGGGGATATTGGTGATCCCATTGCTACACCTTCTGTTTGTCTATATATTTTGCCTTGGAATTTAAGGATAGTAGATGTGAGGCATAACTAAATCCCTAAGATAATTTCTTCAATGGGCAGCTTCGTCCTATGAGTGAGTTCAGGATCCTCAGTTAGTTCTTTTTTAACTGCTTCTAAGGCCATAATGATTGGTATATTAGTATAAAGACTAGTTATATCAAAACTAACCATTGTTTTATCATTCTCTAGTTGAATGTCATTTAGTTTATTTTTCATCTCATATGAATTAGTTAGTCTAGAGTTTGAATGATTTCTAATGGGGCATAATATTAAGAAGCCTGTAGATACACTATGCTAGGTGACCCACCATCACAATGCATTCTGAACTGCTGTTAGGTGGTTGGACGCAATTGGTTGGTGTTCACCACTCTGCAAGGTATATCTGCATTCTTGAAGAAGCTATTATCCCTTGCGAGACTCAAACCCTGGTCACCACCCAGTGTTGAGGTCTGTGACGTTACCACTGAGCTATTTGGGTTCGCGATTGACCTCCTGTAGTACTGCAATGGATAATTTGATTGGACACTAGGTACTTCACAGTCGGACGGTATTTGGACTCTATTCAGGTACACAGTACAGTTCCGAGTACACGCTAACCTAACAGTAGTATCTTTCACCATCCTATGGAGTCACATCATGGGTTGGATCAACCCTCGACATTTTTCCAACTGCTCAAATAGCAAACAACCAGTGAACGTTATTATAGAAGCTATTCGGATGAAATGCCTTATACATCTTTAAGTCACTGAAGTTTGTGTCTCAAGATGATATCACTTATTGAAAGACGATACGCACGATGTCTAGACGCACTACTTCATCGAACCTTAGAAATGTATACACAAAGACTTTAGTGTATGCAAACAATTCTACAGAAATAATGATGATCATCAACGACTGACTGACTGGTTTCAAGATAGACCTTCGCACCCATGTGCAGCAGTTCGAGTTGCCACACTTCATTCAGCACACAAAGCAAGAGAAGAAAGTAAAAGAAATGCAAAATAGAGACAGTGAACAGAGATATGAGGCAAAAAGAATAGTAATATCGAAGAACAATATAGTTTTATTGGGTATTATAAGTCACAAGGAGTGGATGCATCTGTGCCAGCCATTGAGAACGATTTTGAGCAATATCACCGATTGTCTCCAGCCATTGGTTTCTACCGTCCCGAGGACCCCAACCAGTCAGGAAGTCTACACCTTCCTACGTGGCTGGCTTAAACTAACTGTTGTGGATTTCATTGACTGATGAAGCCATGTTTTGGTTTGACCACCGCTAGCTCTTTTCCAACCTTACCATATGTCAGCTAACATTTCCCGTAGAGGAAGGCGATGGCTAGGTAGGCTTGCATAACACGTGTCCTAACCATCTCAGTTGATGTAGCTTCACAGCCTCATCGATTGATTTCCCCTCCTTACCTAGCACTCTACGCCTAACCTCAATATTGCTCACCCTATTATACCACTTCACACGGGAGATGGAACGCAGGCACCTATGATCAAAGACAGCTAGCTAGCCTTCTCATGTCTTGCACTCTCAGTGGCCAGGTCTCACAGCCATAAAGGAGGACTGCTGCGATGAGCAGTACACACGTCCTTTAGTCGATAGCCGGATATCACGTCTCCGCCAGAGACGGCCTAGACTGGCATATGCGAAACGAGCTTTCTGTATCTGTGCTGAGATTTCGTCAGCGATCAACCCACTGGTGTTGGCTGATGCAACTTCGCAAATAAGTGAAGCGGTCAACGTGATCAACCACTTCACGACGAGCACCCCCCTCCACTATGTATGTAAATTAAGTGATACACATAGTTGGGTGTAACAAAATGCTTCGCTTATTTCAAAGACTTAAAAGGACATATAGGCTTAATGTTTTCAGTCATCCTTATTTGCAAGGTAATCTTAAGCTATTTGATGTGTCAGAGAATTAAGCTGTTTCTATCGCCACTGAAATGGAACTTGAAAAGTACTTAAACTTCTTTTCATTTCATTGTGTAGCCTTTTATTGCTCATGAAATGTCCTTAAGAAGAGTAAAACAAACACTGAGGTGACTGACTGACTGTTTTCAACATAGAGCTTTGCACAGATGTGCAGCAATTCGAGTTGCCACACTCCACGTAGCACATAAAGTCAGAGAAGAGAGTAGAGAAAGATTCAAAAGAGAAATAATAAAAAGAAATATGAAGCAAACGAAAAAAATAGTAATATTGAAGAACAATAGAGTTCTGTTGGATATTGTAAATCACAAGGAGTGGATGCATCTGCGCCAGTCATTGAGAACGATTTTGAGCCATATTACCAATTGTCTCCAGCCTTCATTGTTTTTTACCGTCCCGAGGACCCCAACCAGTCAGGAAGTCTACACCTCCCCAAGTGACTGGCTTAGACTAACTGTTATGGATTTTCACTACTATACTACTACTATACCATGAAGCGTAACAACTCACCCTGATATGTCATGATGCTTGTCTCGAATTTGCTGGTGCCAGCTCATTTACCAAACAGTTTCCATAAACGGCAGGGTAAAGTCGATGGTAGGTAGACTACGGTTTTCCTCACCAAATGCTCTCTCATATGACCATGCGTTTGTTTCACTGCCTTCATGTGACCAGGGTGTTCCTCACGAAAGTAAAATAGCGGATTCAAACCTCTGAGGCTTACAAACGGAATGGTGGACAGGTAAAGTCTATCTAGGGGAGCTGGAAAACCCTGATGTACATGGGCTCATGAATCTGAAAGGATCAAATGGCGTACGAACCTGCCTTGATCACTGGAAACTATGAGAACGCAGCTCCTGAGGCTGCCCCACTGCCTTGTGGACCAGACTTCATGTCAGAGGCTTAGGCAGTAGGGACTACTTAAGACAATCACCTGCCTCGATCTGGACGTCTTTTGGTGCCCATACTGTAACAAGTTTGGGTTTTAATGATAATAAAGTAATCATCAAACATCTGATACATTTAGCCAGATTTCAAATAGAACGTAACTTCAATACATACAGATTAAAGCTCAACTTAGTCCGTGAAAATTTATCAGAAGAAAAAGTTTCCGATGAAAGATAGCAAACAGAGTCGAAAAAAATCACAAACAATGTTACACAATAATTTCTCTTCAGGTTCTTGCAAATATAAAATATAACATTTGTTGTCGTTACAATAGTGGCCAGTTATGCCGACCATGTACATGGTCCGGGGTTCGATCCCCGGCCGACGCACTCCTTTACCTCGCTAAGCCAGTAGTAAGACTGGTAAAGAGGGAAGGTTGGGCATGTGGCTAGCAACCCCATCCTGTAAAAATAAACACTGCTACAGAATCTTCAGGCCTCTAGCTTGAAGCCCTATGTTCCACTGGGGAACGTGAAGGAAAAAAATGCGGCGGATACATTTTTACGTAGATGTCTCACCTAACCTTAGCTCTTCTTCATGAATATACCATTTCAACTGTTCCTGTGGTTCAAGTTATGTAGGGTGCACGATTAGACACGTTCGTCTACAGGTTCGGAAACATTTACCAGCTTGGCTCATCAGGGGGGAAATTAAGTGCATAAAAAGCTTGATCCTGTCACACTTGGTCGATACTGGACATCATATCGATGTTAACACAGCTTTCAGGGTTATATACCAAATTCCGAAGTCGTTATCACGTACAGTTCGCTTACGTCTTCTACACATAGCTGAAGCTGTTGCAATAAGATCGACTAAGCCGGAACTTTGTATCCAAAAAGAACACGTCCAGACGCTGTTCCTACCGTGGCCAAACTTGGATTGATGATCCTTCTTCTCACCAAGAGTGCTCCTTCCTTTTTTTCCTTTGCTTATTATTACAAATATTATTATTACAATTATTATTATTATTCGTCATAATTTATGCCCTTCATGCAAACATTCTCAATACTATCGAATTTTTCGTTTATACTATCCGGACTTATTATTAGTGATATTATCTCTTTTCTCAACATATGCCTCCACCTGTTTCATTTCACATATTCGTTATCGCATTATGAACCTCTCATTGCAGTCTTACTATCTCCTGTTTAACACAGACCACTTTGTATTAGTCACTCACCTGACACCTTTTATAACCTTGAACTGACTTGTCAATTGTCCTACCGCACACTCTACAAATCTATTATGACCGATCGCCACCACTGTCTCCCATTTTACAATATTTTGCAATCGATTTCAGCCTAGCACGACTATTTATTTTGACACCCCATAACTAATCTGATGTTCTACGTAAAAAATTGTATCCGCCGTATAGCTGGCCATTATTGTAACGACAACAAATATTATATTTTATAATTGTGTGAGAACCTGAAGAGGAGAAATTATTGAAAAGAATATTCTTGGTTCAGATTGACTTTTAATTAATGACATGGGAATATTTCACACTATTAAATGTTATACAACACCAACTATAACTTACCGAGTCGACACAAGATGTAACAGTACATATTCAGCTACAATTTCATCACCATAAAACAATGTAGTCAAAAGATTAATTAACTTTGCACGAATCGATTGAATCTCACCACACTGACTGCTAACTAAATATATATAGAAAAGAAATTATATGACTTATGAAAATTAGTTACTTACCTAGGGGAGCTGATATTTCACAGATAAGTGGATTATTATGCATTAACTGTTTCACTATAACAGCATGTATTCTAGGCAAAGGTTCTTGACATTTTTCCTCTGGTTCACAACAATCCTCGGGTAATGCAGCACACAGACGTGCATGTTCTAATATTCCATAGATTTCAACAATATCATTAATTTTAAATTGGGTTTGAGCACCATCATACACCTAAGAAGTAAAAAGTGATAAACTCAGTCAGGAAGATAGATCCACAGAACTTTGATTGATTGTGTAATAACCAATGACTAACTGAACAAATATGTACAAGATAAAGAATATTAACAAGGGAAAACATGAAGATTTAATGGACCTGAGACATTATAAAACACTGAATGCATCTGCACCATTGGAAGAAATTTTGAGCCATATAACACCAATAGTCTCCAGCCATTGGTTTATAGCATCTCAAGGACCCCAATCAAACAGTCTACACCTTCCTACGTGGTTGGCTCAAAGCAAATATCAGAGAATTCATGAATTGGTGGTAGGCTTTTATCTGACCACCTATAACTGTTTTCTAGCCTAACTCTATCAACCAACATTGGTAGACGAGGTAGGTGGTGGGTCGACATGCGGAACATGTGTCCAAACCTTTTCAATTAACGTAGCTTCACAACCTCATCGATTAACTTTCCCTCCTTACCACCTAACACTATGCCTAACCTCAGTACTGCACCCCACATTATACCAGTTAATACGGAGAAGACAGAAAGGAAACATCTGTGGGCAAAGACAGATAAGCATTTCATGTCTTCTACTTTCAATGACCATGTCTCACAGTCACTAAGGAGAACAGAGAGAACTTTTGAGCAGTACACGCATCCTCTGAACGATAACCAGCCACATATCAATTCTATGCCAGGAATGACGTAAGTTTGCAAATGCCACGTAAGTCTTTTGTAACCATGCTGAGATTTCATCAACAATCAGCTCATTGGAGCTGATGCAACTGACCAAATAAGTGAAGTGGCCAACATGTGATATCAATGTTAACACACCCAATGTTGGCACTACAACCAGATAAATTGAATGTTAAATTGAATGTGCAAATAAAATCATCAGTAATTATGAGAACCAAAGCTAACGAGAACTATTTAAAACTTCAAACAAGATTTTCGCACTCCTATCAAGGTAATTTTATCAAATATATATAACACTCAGAGACAATGATGGTTAATTACCTCAACGCTTTACGCTTATAATAGGTCAGTAAGCGAACGGACTAGGGTTTAAATATGTAAATCACGATTATCAACCGAATCACGACTCCATTAATGTAACTAAACTTTTTGGCAACATTACTTAATCGCTCAATATGTGACGTTAGTAATACTATACAAAGCGGTATTTGAACTTAAAACCAATTGAGCCGAAGTTAATTGCTTAAACATGAGAACCGTCATGCCTTCGAAAAAACTAGTGTCATAGCTGTGTACAAACCTATATAGATGACTTCCATGTTACAGAATCGATACTTAATTTTTATGGAGACAATAGGTAGTTGTGTTTTCTAGGATAATATTTACTGAGATGTTGGACAGAAAAAACTTCAAATGAATATATACGTCAACAAAGAACTCTTTTCAAAATATCCTAACCATGTTTTGTGATACAATGAAGTTACCGCATTTCTTAATATTAAAAAATATGGAGTAAACTAGTACTGTGTGGGTGCAAATACCAAGTTGCACTACATTACTGTATAAAAGTAAAACAATGGAATTTTAAGACACGAAGTAAAATGCATTAACAGTAGAACAAGATAAACAGCTACGCTTATTACCATTAACAAAATATAAAACGTTCGTCATAAACATCAAAATCGTATAAACGAATTAGTGATATCTCAATATGCTTACTGGTTTGCATACATCTGAGAGTGATAACACGCCTGTTAATAAATTCAAACCCCCTACTTTGTGGAGTACCCAAAAGTATCATAAAAATGAACTACAGAATTAAGAGCTTTCAATTATGAGAGGAACACAGTACCTGGGGGAGCATATTCATATTTTAAATTTTTGTGCATCTAGAGAAATTGGTTCCTAAGCTGTGGAATTGCTTCATTATATGCAACGGATAGAAAAAGATGACAATGAACGTAGAAGATACACACTTCACTAATGAACCTTTATGTATTTGATTATGGTGGAACCGGATGGTGACCAACAAACAGGAAGGTCAGTTTAGAAAGTTATGTCTTTTTCACCCGAAAGCGTTAATTTCTATTCTTTTGAGTTCCGAGTGAACACAATGCTTCAACTTTGAACTCCAGTAGCAATACAAAAGCATACATAATATATCATATTTTTTTCAAATAAAAATCACCTAAATACATTACCAACACTTGGAGATTTGCCTGTCGGGTATTAAGACAGATTACGTCCATTGCAAGTATAGTGATTGAACGAACTTCTTCTGTATGCAGAGTTCAGGACTTAGCAAGTGAATTGCCATTGCTTCTGCAGTTTGGAGAAGTTTGACTCGTACACTTTTAGGAAGACTGCTTCGTATTCTGTAGACGACTTTGAAGTTTGGGGTGTAGCTTGGTGTCCGGAATCTATCAGATGTTCTAAGAAAGAGCTGTGGGGACATCGTTTTTCTCCTTTGTAAAACCATGCTGGTAAGTGTTCGGTGATACGTTTGGATAGCGAACGCTGGGTACGGCCGACACACCTGGCTCCACACGAGCAGGTGAATTGGTAGATACACATTGATGAGGCCAGCAGCGGTAGCTTATCCCTCACGTTCATACGAATCATAGGTTTCATGCACCGCGGATACCATAGAAGACGAACTGGACAATTTCAAGAGAATCCTCGTCGAAAATCGTTACCCAGAACGATTTATTCCAAAATCCATGAATCCTAGACCTCAAAAGCCACCCGCGCTTAGCGTCCCGAAAATACTCCTCTACATGAACCTTCAATTCAATAGAGATTCATCTGCGGAAACACTGAAAAATCGGCTGTTCCGTTCACTTAAGAAAACCTTCTTCGCAGCTGAACTATGGTTAACCTTCTCCACGAAACCTATGATTCATATGGACGTGAAGGATAAGCTACCGCTGCTGGCCTCATCAATGTGTATCTACCAATTCACCTGCTCGTGCGGAGCCAGGTGTGTCGGCCGTACCCAGCGTTCGCTATCCAAACGTATCACCGAACACTTACCAGCATGGTTTTACAAAGGGGAAAAACGATGCCCCCGTAGTCTATCTTAGAACATCTAATAGATTCCAGACACCAAACTACACCCTAAACAAACTTCAAAGTCGTCTACAGAATACGAAGCAGTCTTTCTAAAAGTGTACGAGTCAAACTTCTCCAAACTGCAGAAGCAATGGCAATTCACTTGCTAAGCCCTGAACTCTGCATACAGAAGAAGTTTGTTCAATCACTACACTTGCAATGGACGTAATCTGTCTTAATACCTGACAGGTAAATTCTATTTCTTTCTGTCTCTTCATTAGTATTATTTTGTCTTTACAGCTGTAATATTTTATATTTTTAACTCGGAGATTTAGTTAGAAGCAATTTCCACCAACATGGAAAACGATAACAAGAACAATAATGCTTTTTAGAGAATTTAAATGATAAAAGCTGGCTGGCTGGATTCAACATAGAACTTGGCACCGAAGTGCAGCAGTTCGAGTTGCCACGTTCCAAATACCACACAAAGGTAGACAAGAAAATGAGTGAAGACAATCAATAGAGTCTTCACAAGGATAAGAGTGAAACAGAATGAGTAATGGTAGAAAGGAATATGAACGATAACAGAGACTGAATACATCTGCGTAAGCCATTGACAACGATTTTGAGCCATGTCACCTATTGTCTCCAGCCATTGATTCTTAGAGTCCCGAGGGCCCCAACCCGGAAGTGTGCATCTCCCTCCCTACCTGACTCAGTTTAACTGTAAGGGATTTCATGAATTGATGAGGCCATGTTTTTGTTTGGCCACCGCTTACTCTTTTCCAACCTGCACCTACCTATATTAGCTAGTAATGCCCGTCCGTCGGGGGAGGCGATGGTTAGGCATGCGCAGCACGTGATCTAGCCATCTCAATCTATGTAACTTTATAGCCCTCTTCGCCCAACAATCTACGCCTAACGTCAACATTACTTACCTTATTATGCCACCTAACGTGAGAAAGAGATCGTAAACATCTATGATCAAAAACAGTCAACATTTACATGTCTTCAACTCGTATTGGCCATGTTTCAGAGCCATAGAGAAGGACGGAGAGAACTGCTGAGCAGTACACACGTCCCTTTGTTGATAGCCGGATGTCACCCCTACGCCAGAGACGGTGTAAGTTAGCGAAAGCAGCCCGAGATTTTTGGATCCGTGTTGAGATTTCGTCACCAATCAATCCGTTGATCCTGGTACAACTTCCCAAATAGGTGAAGTGGTCAACATGTTCTATCACTTCACTCCCTATCACTAAGCTAGGGGTAGACGTATTCCAGTCCTGTAGCAGCATCTTACATTTTACAGGGGCTAATCGCATGCCAAACATACGAAGATTGCTGCTCAAGGTGTTCAGAAGACTCTGCATTTTGTCAGCGTCCTCCCCTAACAGGACTATGTCGTCTGCGTATTCTAAGTCTACAAGACTATTCCCTGATAACAAGTCGATTCCTAAGTCGTTTAGTTCAGTTAAGGATACTTCCATTAGCATATCTATGATGAAGTTAAACAGAAAAGGGGAAAGTGGACATACTTGACGGACACCACTGGTTGTCATCCATTCGGATAACAATTCCCCATAAGCCTTTACATGGCTACGTGAGTTTGAGTAGAGTGCCTTGATTAGTGCAATGTACTTTCTTGGCACTCCCTTCACAGTCAAACTCTGCCATAGTACCTTTCGATCCACGAAGTCGAAGGCCGTAAGTAATACAAATCAGTTGCCTAATAAAAGCCTTTCACAATGAACGATGAATGACATTCAGTGTGTAGGAGCTTATAAATCGTTCAGTTTTCCAGATTGAGGAGGTTGGAGAAAAGTTAGAACCAAATATCCATTGGTTAAAAGTCAATTGTTTAGGGTAGTGAGCCATACCTCTACCAGAGTGACAACCGAAAATATTTCGGCAAGCACGACAAAGTAGTAAAGTCAATAAAACTGAAAATATGATTCAAGACCATAAAAAAATACATTT